CTTCAGTTAGAATGGAGTGTTGGCTATATCTTTCCGCCACCCAGGCTAGATAACTGCACCTTGATGTTGAATGACATGTGCGTACTTCTCTGCGGCTAAATCCCACTGACATCACTAAGTATGCGTAGGAATGGGGTACATCCCATTCCAGGCTGGAGCCTGCAGAAGTGTACTATCCAAGGACAGCAGAAGGTCACAGATGGTCAGGACCATAGACAGCTCACTGTGGAGCTGCTTATGGTTACAAGTCAGGCTAGATACAAACCAAAAGAAGCTAAGAACTTACTACTCCAGCAGCTGTTCAAAGTGGACTAGTTCCGAGGGAGCCTTGGGCAAGGGGGCCTCCATCCCCGTCAGTTCCCACCTTGCCCCTGTCCAAGATGAGCTCCATCAGAGCCCAGAAGCATACTGGCGAAATGGTGGCAGCTTCAAATGCAGCTACTTTGCCCAGTGCTTCTCTTCAAAGTGCTGGCCACCCAAAAACATATTTTCAAAATTTAAAGGGATGTTGGCAACTGGCACCAGCCACCATCAGGCCCAATGCTGAGACAAATGCTGGGATGCACTGTGGCCCCGGCCATGGGAGTGCATGCCAGCTTTATTAGTGATAATCTGCTTTGTTTGTATCAAAGTGTTTTTGGTGTTGCTCAGGGTTGCTCCAAAATGGATCCATTAATTAGTCAGCCTGTATGTCCGTTTAGCCCAGTACCCTCTGCTTGAACAGGATCCCCCTTTCACCTGCTTCTACGATACCTTTTAACTGGGGAGACTAGTGGTTGCAACCCTCCCCAGTCAAAGCTTGGGCTCTCGTACTGAGCGACAATCCCTCCCTTAAAAAGAAACCCCCTTATACTATTGTCATACTAGGAACTATGGTTTCTCAAAATCCCTGGTATGGGCAGTTTGAAAGAGGATCAAACAAATTCATGAAGATAATAGATCTAGAGTGGCTGTTAGTCATGGTCACTAAATAGGATTGAAGCCCCGTCGCAGCAGGACTGGAAGCAGTGTACTCCTAAATGCCAGGTGCTGGGAGTAAATAACTGGGAACAGCTATTACTATCATTCCCTGCCTACAAACTGCCTAGAGGTGTCTGACTGGCTGGAATGATGGACTCTCTAACCTTGGGCTGATCTAGCAAAGCAGTGCTTATGTTCTAATGATGAAGGTGAACTGGCCCATGGTTTTGCCTAGTCATGTAACTCTGTGTGCACGCACATGTGTGTGTGTACATGCATGTACACAATCTTGTGTGAGAGAGTATGTGTACATGTGTGAGTGAGCTATCTCCCCCCCCTTTTTTTTAACTGGATGGTTTTAATGAGAACACAACCCTCCTGCAACGAGGTGAGCGGAAGTAGACCGGATGGCATGCCTTTGTACTGAAGAGAGTAATTTTTTCATTTACTAGTGTCTGTGTTTCTTGCTTCCTCCTGTCTGTTTTGGGAAGTTGCCAACCACTTTGCTATCTCCTGTCAGTGATGGATTGAGGCTGAAAATGGGTAAACAAAGCTTGCATTTTGCAAGCATAGATAGGCACGTGTTGGGAACTGCCTTAGGCTGAGTTAGACAACTGGGTCCATCAAGTTCAGTACTGCCCACACTGACTGTGGCAGCAGTTTTCTGGGACATTAAGCAGAGGACATTCCCAGTCCTGCCTGGGGCTACCAAGGATTGAACATGGAACTGTCTACATGCAAAACATGTGCTTCCTGGCTGGCTGTTTGTGAGACATGCCAACCCCAATTTACCCATATAAGCCTAATTAAAGATGGAGATGGGGAGTGGAGTTTCCCACTACCCAACATTTTATCCCATGCGTGTGGCTTGTTCCTTTTTTCGAGGTGGATCACAGGCTTCTGTAATGAGGTAAACTTGTAAGTGTCATGTATGGAGTGTTAGATCCCATTTTCAGACTTTTATAATAATACGGTGTCTTGATTTGAACCATGTTCCTGTCAGATTCTAACTTGCAGGCTAATATTAAGCACCGTAACAATTTCCAGAGAGAAATGTAGAAATTTTCTATTTTTAGACCCTTCTAGTAATGTTGGTTCATATATTACCAAATGGAATTTTTTAAGTAACCTAACAGTTCTGACAACTCCCTGAGAAGGGTTAGTTGCAAGTGGTTTTATACCAATAATGGCATGTGCTGGAGTCTCTGTGTTTTATAATATATACACCAAATGTAATATACACCAGAGATTTTCCTTAAGATAATTTGCATGGCACCCTGGCACCACCCCTCTTGAACATCGGTGTAATAGCATTTGGTATATCTCAAATAAGTAGAAAAGGTGACCCAGTAATATCAGGTTCTGAGAGGGCAAAAAAGGACTAATCTTCTGCTGAGTGACAAGTATTTATTATCTGCACAAATAAACGGTGTCATCTCAAACTGTAAAAATGGGGAATTTGTGACTCAAGATAGTTACATAGGCTACAAATGCTGGCACGTAGTCCTGCAGTTTTTGTTCAATTCCTCATTGTAATCTGGGGAAGCACTTTGGGGCTCCTCAGTTCACCTTTTGTGGCCCATATTGGAAAAGAAAGGAAGAGCCGGGGTTGTTTTTTTTCCAGCCGGAACTCACCAGAACTCAGTTCTGGCACCTTTCAGGTTGGCGCCATTGCCATTATAAGAGAACAAGAGAGGTGTTCATGGTGAGTTCTTCTGGTACCATAAGTTTCTAGAAAAATGGCACTGGGAAGAGCAAACTATTGATACACATACACTTGTTTGGTTTGTAACTGATAACATTATTTACTGTATAATAGTGAAAGAAAAGGTTTGTTGTTCATGGGAAACATCCTGCCTTTTTTTTAAAAAAAAAAACCTTCTTTGTTGTTTTGCAGAGAGTTGGATTGAAAGATGTCTCAGTGAAAGTGAAAACAAACGTTATTCCAGTCATACATCTCTGGGGAATGTTTCTAATGATGAAAGTAAGTATATGTCATTTTCAGTAGACTTGTATCTCCAGAAAGGACCCAAAAGCTGTAGTGTCCAATTGCGTCCATACATCTGATTGGGGCCATAGTTAGGATAAAATGACTGGCGTTGCTACCTAGAACACAGCATTATTTTATTTAAACAGTTTATAGGCCAGAGTTCTCCGGGAGACTTTAGTCATGTTTTACACCATTAACCTAATGTACTATAATGCCACTTTAAACAGTCAAAGCTTCCCCCTCCAAAAAATTTGGGAGCTGTAGTTTAATAAGGGTACTGATAATTGTTAGGAAACTCTTGTTCCCTCCTCAGAACTGCAGTGCCCAGAGTTCTCTGTGAAGAGGGATTGATTGTTAAACCACTCTGGCAATCGTTGCCCTGAGAGGGGAACAGGGGTCTCCTAACAGTTCTTTGCACTCTTAACAAACAACAGCTTCCAGAATGCTTTGGGGGGAAACCCATGATTGTTTATAGTGGTATCATAGTGCTTTTCAGTGTAAAGTGTGAATGTGGCCAACGATATATGCAACGTGATGTGTGTGTCTTTTGTCTTTTAGCTTAGTATTGTAACTGTTTTCTTTCCTGATACCACCGTTCAGTACTTATTTGCTCCTAAGTAATTCCAACTGAATTCTGTGATGCTTACTCCCAAGTCACTGTACATGGCGTTATAGCTTTAGTGGTGTGTGCATGAAGCTGAGATGAGGCAATATATTAAGAGAAAATGGACAAACTGTAATTTATTTATTTTAAAAAGGGCAGGGTCTTGAATCTGCTTCTTGCAACTATCTCGAGAGCCAGTTCACATTTGCATGTGCAACAGTTGATGACTCACTGCAGAATGTGAACACTCCAATAAGAAGGATGGACTTTAAGGCAATTTGAAAGTAGATATGAGCATTTTGTCTGTGGCACTGTCTCTGCGATGGCTCTTATTCACCATCTGTGATGGCTCATAGAAGACACATGTTTCTTACAGTCATTACGGGTGGGGGCAGGTGAGACTTCCAGAATGGTCTCGGTAAAGTCTCTCTCAATGCAATCCTATGCATATCTACTCAGAAGTAGACTGATTCCAGGGTGGCTTAGTCCCTGGTATATGGCTGTGTTTACATTTCCTAAGAGGATAAGGTTATCAGTGACTACTAGCTATGATGACTATGTACTAGGAGGCATTATGCTACTTGCTGGGAATCATGGTGGAAAGAATGCTGTTGCACTCAAGCCTTCCTTCCCATAGGCATCTGATCAGTGAGAATAGGATGTTGAACTAGATGGGCCTTTGGCCTGATCCAGCAGAGCTCTTCTTGTGTTCTTCTGAAAGGATATGACAACTGAGGGTTTTTAGGGTTTTTTTGAGGGGGGTGGAGTGACAATACTGCATCAAGCTTTGCTAATTCATAGAACTCACTGCCTCAAGATGTGGCGGAGGCCACTGACTTAGATGGCTTTGAAAGTGGAGGATAGTTAATGGAGAATAAGGCTCTCAGTTGCTACTAGCCATTATTATTATTATTATTATTATTATTATTATTATTATTATTTATTAGTCCATGCCCTCCATGCCCACAGACAGTGTACAAATGAATAGTAGCTGGGGAGCAACAATGGAAAGAGGGCAATGGTCTCCCCATCCTGCTTGTGTTTTAATACTTCTAGGTTTAATACAGTGTTAAGTACTTAATCGAGTTAAATACTTAATTCGTTCCGGAGGTCCGTTCTTAACCTGAAACTGTTCTTAACCTGAAGCACCACTTTAGCTAATGGGGCCTGCTGCTGCGCCGCTGCCACGCAATTTCTGTTCTCATCCTGAGGTAAAGTTCTTAAGCTGAGGTACTACTTCTGGGTTAGCGGAGTCTGTAACCTAAAGCATATGTAACCCGAGGTACCACTGTACTAGGTTTGTAGGTTTAGTACTTCTAGCTGTTACGTGGCCACTGGGTGCAGCCTGCTGGCCAGCTTGGATGATGTCAAGACCTCTGTGAGGTAGTTTGATACACTCTACCTCACGTTTGTTAAGCTGATGTCAACCCACTGTCCTTTGTGATATCATTGGCTCAGCAGTCTTAGCTCACTGAGCCCGATTTTAAGGTGCCGGCCTCTGTGAAGATTTTCAACCTGGTAATTCCAGTTTGATACATGTTAATGACAAAGCCCCAGTCAAGTGAAACAGCCTTTTACTCCTCGATGGCTGTAAATGGAAAAGGAAAGCTAGCCATGAGGGAAGGGGATCAGATGCACCAATCAGAACCAGGTAACACCACTGTTCTGCCTCTGTAGCTCCTTCTCTCTTGCCACAGTACTTCTGTGAGGAAGGAAGGGGCCAATGTTTGTTCATCAAACCCATCGTTAGGCTTCATAGGCCTCAGGAGGAGGCGGACCATTGCCTCACAACCACCCCCTCAGCATCTGACCCACACACTCTTTGGGTGGACTCACCTCACCCATATATTAAATGGGAGAGGAATGGAACCCTCTCATTGCCTGTGAACAAAATAAAATACTATCTGAAGAGTAAAAAAATAACAGAGAATAACCTGATATTTTCTCAGTTGGTCCCATAGCCTTCTGACAAGGGGCTGAATCCATCGCAATGTCTGCCTAATACCAAATCAGACTGATTGCCCAGTTCACCCATTATTGTCTACTCTGACTGGTAGCTCCATCGGGATTTTTCTGGGGATCCCTATCTTTGAAATAAATTCTATTGTGCCTGTTACACCTTTACAAGCTCAGTTCTCAGAGAGAAGGTGATGGTATCTTTCGCTTACAGCTGTTGTTACCATCATATTAATTGATTAATTTCTAAATATAGGCCATCTATCTCTCTACATTGTTCATTTCAAAGACAAAGCCCCTAGCTGAAGTGACTTACATTCCAAAATAAGGGGAAACAATGGAGGAAGGGGGAAGCAGGAGATGAGTATATGATTATCTTGAATACTTGTACTTTGGTTCAGTTACAATAAGGTGTAGGGAGTGACACTAAGCTCCAGGTCAGCCTTTGCTGGTACCCTCCAGATGTTTTAGACTGCAATTCCTTTGGTTAGCAAAGTCACACAAATAACACAAATGGAATCCAGATAGAAAAGTCTTGAAAACACTAGAATCTCCTAAAACGGTATAATTTTAGGAGAAGCAAACAGAGATGTTTTGTCTTTCTTACTTCGGGCCTTGTACATTTCAGGATGACATTCAACCAAATGCACAGAGGAGAATCTCTCAGAACTATACAGCCAATCAGGGTACATGCTGCCTCAGTGCATCAAGGCAGAAACACTCAAGGAGGATGGAAAGTAGGGCTGGTGAAGGGATGTGGCCAGGGAGAGTTCCGAGGGCCAGATAAGAGAGCCCCAGGGAGGCTCTGCAGCCCTGTGTTAAACAAACTACATGCTGATTCACACTGACTCCCGCTATACTATGCAACTTTCAGAGTTTATCCTGGAAAGCGTGAGATTTTATGTACAGTGGTTAATCCTGCATCCCCCTTGTTGGTGCTTTAGTGGTTTGACTGAAAGTCTTTTCTCTCGTATTGTTTTCTCGCAACAGATGAGGAGAAAGAGAATAACAGAGCATCCAAACCACATTCCACTCCAGCTACTCTGCAATGGTAAGATTTTTATTATTGTTTTTAAAGGATAAGATGTGAGCCTTTTGTATTTCCAGGCTACCTACATCGGGACTCAGAAAAGCAAATGCAACTGAAAGGACGATAAGAAAAGAAAGGATAAATGAAGATGAATGTAATTGAAATCTTAGAGGAGGTATGGGGAACCTCTGGTCCTCCAAATGTTGCTGAACTAGAACTCCCATCATCCTGGGAGTTGTAGTTCAACAACACCTGGAAGGCTAAAGAGTCCCCACACCTGGCTTACGGTAAACACTAGTCCGAAAGCCAGACAAGAACTTTCTCTCTCTCTCTCCATCAAGAACAGAACAGGAAATTCCTTACACCACCCAGATACAACTAATGCCATCTAAACCACTTAAAAGCACTATCCACACCATGTTCAGGGCAGCCTTCCCCAACCTGGTGCCCTCCAGATGTTTCAATTTTCAGCATCCACCAGCCCCAGCCAGTATAGCCATATTGGTTTGGGCTATTGGTGGGAATTATAGTCAAAAACATCTGGCGATCGAGGAAGACTGGTCTGTGGTGAACACAACTCCTGCCTCTCTCTAATAACCAGCAAAACCGACATAAGCCAGGAAACTCCTCATTTCTGAAGGCCGGGGCACCCAGAAAAGGCCCTCCAAAAAGAAGTTTATAAGTGAGTAGGGTTATATGGGCAAAAGTAGTCCTCTGAGACCCCACCCTCAAGCTGCACTAACAGACTGCTAGCAGTTTCTACACATTCAAACATCACTTGTCTTTTTCCCCCTTTTTCTTTTTTTGTTAAATTTGATTTCCCCCACTGACTAGTGCTTCCAGTTATCCGACACCCATACAGGAAAAACAGGCCTTCTGCGTCAGTCTCTCCCGTAATTTGATGGAGTCTGGAGATAGCTTGTTAGCCAGGACATCACCCCTAATTAGATCATAGAGCTCTGCTCTCAAAAGAAAACAAGCAAATACTGGCAGCAGTATTATTTGAAGCATTTTGTTAGCATCCACAGTCTTGGAGGTTATTGGCCAGTCCCTAAACCCCTGGGATCCTTGGTTCTGTCAAAATGCACCCATTGTTTACTATTGCATCCCAGATGTCTGAAAGGGGCAAAGCCTATATTATATAGTCCAGTCGACTCTCCTCACCAATGCAACTGTCTCTTGCTATTTCCTCTTTCCTGCGGTCCCTGTTCTGGCTTGTTGCCACCAAACTCTACAACCTTCATTTAGGACCCATGTTGGTATAGTTTGTTCCTAGTTGCTCCATCCTCAATCCTAGTTTCTCAATCCTGACAAGCCTGTTGTGTCGGGTTGATCACAAGTAGGGTTCTTGGGTCTGGCCCAGAACCTCTAGGCCTGAGGTGCCACCTTTGGGTCTTTGAGCCAGGTACAAAATATCTGGGCTGTAGGACCTGCTATGGAGGAAGGAGGGAGGGAAGGAAGGAAGGAAGGAAAGAAGGTGAAAGAGTACTACTACATACCACACTAACTCCTTTTCCCTTCCTAATTTGCCACCATAGCTCCATGAATTCCCTTTTATTCTTCCAGGCAAATTGAATGCCACAATCTGCCTGGGAGCAGAGGATGTGTGGAACAGTGGAGGCAGGAGTTTCAAAGGGAAGAGGAAAGGCAGAGTAGTGTCGTGGTGGTGGCAGCAGCAGCAGTGTGGCTGCTGCATTTGGGACCAGCTGACATATGTGAGCAGCAGCTTGGGTGCTCTGCCTGCTACATATTTCAGTACTCTGGCCTGTCCTGCTGTGCCGCATTTCAGGTTGTTTGGCCAATGCAGATGGGGCCCACCTAACTAGGTCAGTGGAAGTGGGAGCAGAGGACTGTGGGTGGTGATGGTGGAGGTGTTAAGGAGAAGGGAAGGGAAAGGAATTGAGATTGTACATGTTTGCATGGATATAAGCACGAGAGAGGGATGTGATAACTATATATATTGTTGATTTGCTTATGCCTTGGCTTTGAATTGTCTTCATGGGTTGAGCGGATCTGAAGCATATAGTTTGGTTCGCTTCCTTGAGTGATGTTCTGGGCATGGTATTTTGAACTGGCTGCAATGGATTAACTGGATCTGGAACTTTGTTCATTTTTTAAAATCTGTTTTGCATGGGTTTTTGTTTTCTGCAAGGATTCATTGGTTGTTTTGCAGCAGGACTTGCTTGTCTGAGTCACCCATTTTTATATTTGGCTTTATGATGTTTGACACCATTGGAATCCAGGATGTATTAAACTGATCTGGATTGGCCTGAATACAATAAATGTATATTGTGATGACAAAAGAAATAGCTGCATACGTTGGGCTAACAGAGTGTTTCTCCTGGACACAAAGACCATTTGTGATTAAATTATGCAACTCTTGTGAACACTTAAAATGATTGTGCAATATTTCTGCATCTTGATGTATTCTTATATTCTCCTAAAGTCAGTGGCTTTTTTCTTTAGTAAAGATTTCCAAAGAGAAGAGAAGGTGTAATAGAAATGTAAAACCAGTGAAGTAAGCCCCATTCTTCACCTTCATAATATGAGATGGCCGCTTGCCTTTTATGGTGGGCGGTGTTGGGGCCAGGCCCCCGGGCCCCCAGAGTGATATGGCAGGGGACAGAGATTGACGTCCTCCTTGTGCCGTCCCGGCCACATCACCAGCGCTGGGCGGGGCAGTGGCCGGAGGTGGTCCTGCCATCCAGTCAGCGCTGGTAGGGGGCATGGCCACGGGAAATTTAAACCGTGGCACAGCCGGGGGGGGGCCCTCCTCTCTCACCCTTTGCCGGGCAAAGTAAAACCACTGTAAAACCAGTGAAGTAAGCCCCATTCTTCATCTTCATAATACAAGATATGCTGTAATGCTATGAGTAGCCTCAAAATCTTATTGCGAGAGCTCATATTGCTTTATAAGGACATTCCTCTACTACTTATAGAGATAATAGTCAAAGTTCATTATCTTTACACAATACTGTAGGCTAGAGCTGAATTCAACTTATGATGAAGGTTCCCTCCCCCCCTTTTTTTAAGAGGAGGCAAAAAATTGAAAGACATTCTGCAAGGTTGGATTTTTGATCATTAAAAAAAGAGTTCAGGTATAATGGAACATTGTCCAGTGTCAAACTAATGACTCCCTGTGAAAGACAGAGAGGGGAAAAGGAAGAAAAGAGAGGGGAAATTCATCAAATATATGATGAAGAGAAATAATTAACACGGCCTTTCTATCCTGTCTTGGTCAGAGAAACTGACATGCCAATTAGCAGTTATAGCATACAAGCAAAGTCTCTGCGCTTTGAAAAGAGGTTTTGTTGAGGTCCATGAATTTGGGGAAAGATGCAGAGATGATATTCCCATTGAAAGAAAGGAAGCATGGCTGCGGCGCCCTTATTGAGTCTATTCATACCACCAAATATCTTATTGAAATAGTTTGCAGAGACGAATTACCACCATAACTTGAAGATAAGGAAGAAAATTCCTAAAACCAGTTAGCAGGACATAAATTAGTGTCTTCAAGATAGGTTGCTGCTTAGTAGGTTTGTGCTTAAACAGCTAACTTAGTATTTAAAGAGAGGTGTTTATTTTCAAATCCAGGTCTGTTGAACTAATATTATATTGTTATGAGTATGGGGAGCAGTTAGGGTGCATCCTTGATCCCTTTCTAATTCCTGGAAGAGCCAGGCTAGCTTCCTGTTGAGGTAATGGGCCTTTAAGGAAGCAAAGGGAGTGGCTCTATGCTAGATGGCAAATGGGTGGGCTCCCCACCCTTCAGTTGGCTAGTAGTTAGAAAGACAAAGGCCAGAGTTGAAACTTGTGTGTGATTGTAAGCTAGAAGTTGGAGCGAGAAGCAGACTGAAATCTGTGAGGGGAGGGAAAGATATGCTTGCTTTCTGCTTGCATCCAAGGCTGTGGCTGTGGGTGAAGCAAGACCCTTTATTTGGGGTGCTAATGCTGGGAACCAGCGGACCAGATCCAGATGTGTCCAGTCCTCCACAGGCCTCATTGAGGGGTCAGCAGGGCTGTGATTCTTTTCCAGGCATCTGACACCGTACATGATATCAGATGTGGGGAAAGTGGGCATGGCTCACCAAAAAAACAGCTTTGTGGGCCACCTTTCAGGGCCAGGCAGAAGACTGCTTTACTATTAGTGATGAACTAACACCAGTGCCCCACTGACTAGTGCAAGAATACAAGGGGCTGAATCCAGCTCCCCACTTCTTCCTTAAACAGATAATTGGTGCTGTCAGAACAGACAGCACCAACCTGCTTGAGTTGAAGGTAGGTCAATTCAGTCAAGGCATGCAGAGCTTCCTGCATGCACACCTTGGTGCTGCTTTTAAATGATAAGAGATAAATATATGCATGTATACACATGTTTAGTTATTACCATGCAAACTGAAATATAAAAAGGGCATTCTTGAGAGGCGACTGCATTTCTTGTTTTCACTGCAACAGACTCACAGTGCAATCCAGTGCATGCCTACTCAATGCTACCGAGTTCACAGGAAGTTCCCACAGGAAGCTACGTACAGGATAGCAGCCTAAATCTTTTGGCACCTTAAAATTTATTGTGGCATAAGCTTTTGTGCGAAGGTCACATACAGAGTATGGCAGAACAATATTTTACTGCTTGGTTTGGTCTCTGGTTGCATTCCTTTCACTCAAGATACGGCATATCAGAAAATAGTTATAAAGTGCTGAAGGGCATTTTAATGTTTGACTGCCTTTAAATGTGTGAAAATGTTTTATTTCAGCCTTTGGATCCTTAATTACTTAGTACAGTATTCTAGTGATGTAAGACATTTTGAAGTGTTACAGGAGTCTGACTGCAAGAATTTGTGGCACATTGCAGCATCACCGTTGATTTTCATCTATATTAGTATTATTTATATATTAATAGAATTGATGATGGTGTTGGTGTGCAAAGTATGCTGTATTTCAGTACAGAATAAATAGAACACATTTGGCTAATTTTTATGAATGAAAAAACAATGTCCTAGCATAGGGGCTGGCCCTTCAGTCTGCAGATTTGGAAGTTGAAATACAGAGGAGCCAACCTATTTGTAGTTTTCCATTGTTCGATCATTGTTTTTAAGGCTGGAGGAGAACTACGAAATCGCAGAAGGTGTCTGCATTCCTCGAAGCGCCCTTTATATGCACTATTTGGACTTCTGCGAGAAAAACGACACACAGCCAGTCAATGCTGCCAGCTTTGGAAAGGTGAGTGTCAACCAAACCTCACTTCAAGTGGGGTTTTGGGAATCTGAAATAATAGCTGTGAAATATACAAACTGTCAGGAGAAAAACAGTAGAGGGAGGAGATTCCTTTTGATGTTTTCGATGGGAGGCAGTGCCATGATTGGATTATTAGTAGCATCAGTTTTAAGAAGCGTTTTGTTGAGCGTGAGACTTAAAAGTCAAAAAGTAGCTGAGTGAATTTGACTAGTGTTAATGAATTGTGTCACCAGAAAGAGAGTGCATGTGATGGTCTTCTATTCCAGATACAGTCACTTTGAATGACAGTATTGGCCTCCATCTGCTCTATACACTTAAAGCAGTACCATACCAGTCATGGCTTCCCCCAGAGAATCATGGGAACTGTACTTTGTTAAGGGTGCTGCAAGTTGTGAGGAGACCCCTGTTCCTCTCACAGAGCTACAATTCTTAACAGTCAACCCCTCTTCCCAGGGAACTTTGGGAACTGTATCTCTGTGAGGGATGACTGTTTTGTATTGTTTCGGAAAGTAAAAAAAAATGCCAAATTTGACTTTAAATGCAAACTGAATTGAATTTCTTCCCCATCCCTGCTCACAAAACACAACACTCATTCCACTTAACGTGTGCATGTCTCACCTGGATTCTGCAGTACATTTACACAAAACATACCATACCTGTTGCCCATACAGGCAGCCCTGCTTAGGGAAGCTTTTAATGACTGATGTTTTAATGTATTTTTAATCTTTTGTTGGAAGCCGCCCAGAGTGGCTGGGGAAACCCAGCCAGATGGGCGGGGTATAAATATATTATTATTATTATTATTATTATTATTAGTCACTCATCCCTTTCTATTCCCACACAACCCCCCCATCCACCAGTACAGCCAATCACCAAACAGTATCGGCACCTACTTCTTCCACTCCACAAAATATACTGCAAAAACATCTTCATAGCAATGCCACCGTTGCATGAATCTTTTTTCTTTTTTCTTCCCCGTTCATAATGTGAGAAAAACAGCCTATATCTATCGGTGCTGGGCTGTGGCTAGCGCAAGTGTAGCTTTAAGAGAGATCCAGGATTTTTTTTTGATTTTTTTTTAAATCATCTGGAAGGTCACCAAAGGTGCATTTTAGTACACAGATAATTTTTTTTGCTAAAGCCCTCTTGATTTGCTGGGGTTGAAACACTGGAAGTGTAAAGAAACATGTTGGGTTTTGTTTGTTTCTGGTACTTCCGAAAGCGTGTTAAAGTGAGCTGGGATGTTTCATTTTGCTTTAGGTCTGTTGAGGTAATATTCTGCTTTGGGAGTACGTCCTGAATGACAACATGCACCCCTCCCCGCCCCCACAAAAAAGCCCAGAAAATGCTTTTTTTCCCACAGCCCCTAGGAACCCCCATCCCCGTCTGCACAAACTGAAAGAGAGAGGGGTGGGATTAATGTGTAATTAAAGAGAATTTGGAAGGCTGAGATGTTGCGGAATGTTAGATCAGTAGCTGGAACAGCATGTGGTGTTCTTTAGGTAGGCTTCATTGAACCCGCACAAAAAAGAGAGGGAGAAAGAGAGGCAGCTTGCCTGTCTGCTCATTTATCAAATAGCTAGCCTGAACTTTCACAGCTCAACAAAAGTGTTTTTCTGTTTGCTGATTTTTCTCTCTCTTTGCTCCAGAAAATAAACCAGAAAGGCTAGTGAAATCCACGCTTCTGTAACATGTGTGGACCATTCTGGATAAGACTAATGAACCAATGCCAGGGTGGCTTCCTGTTATGAGAGAGAAAAAATAATAAGTAGTAAAATCAGAGGGAGGGTGGAAATTGTATGTAAATGGTGTTGTGTGATTTTTTTCCCCGATTTTTGCACAGCAGCTGTGATCCAATTGTACATCACAAAATTTGGGTTGTGGGCACTTTGCCGCCATGATGGCATTTGCAACAAGAAGGGTTAAAAGCCAATGGAGGCAACAGATTATTTTAATCAGTTGCACGGATCTAAAATTAAAAAATGAACATAGTTTAGGAAGCATCTATATTTATTTTTGTAATCTTAATTCCCTGTTTGAAACGTGGGATGGATTCTTTTTCATGCTTAACACATCTTGGCAAAATAATACTTTCCACTATTTGATTTTTACCTCTTTACTACTTGTGGGGCCCTTGCTTCAACTGCAGTCTTGCCATCCATGCTAGAACTTAATAGGGATAGATCTTCCTCCAGGTTGATGTTCTCAGTAAATTGACAAGTATGTCCCATTTAAAATTCTGCTCCATTATTTTCAGTAAATATGGATGGGTTGTTGAGCACGGGGGAATTTCAAAATGTGGGAAATAGAATCATTGCAGGCAAAATAACACAACAAGTATCTCCTCTGTAAGAAGAATCTGCAATCAAGCTAATTTGAATAATAATTACAGGCCATCTACATGATTTGCATATTATGAGAATGAAACTGGGATATATCAGAGGAAGTATATGGGTGTTTTGCCCAAGTTTAAAAGATTGGTACCAGCCCTTGAAAATTTTTGCTATATGTACTTAACATTTTTGCTCAGTAGTATCCATTTATCAAAACTATTGAAAAATTATTAAGTCACGTGAAATATTTAGCCCTCAACTAAATATTCCTCAAATAGGATTCTTTAAGTGCACCTTCCAAAGGTCTCGTGCACTGTAAATAAACTTTTCCTTGTACGTCGCTGTCATGCCTGCTGCAAGATGAAATGAAAATTGACATTAAACGTGTTGGGTTCATTTGCCACACAGTCGTGTGAAATAATGTGTCAGATATTTTGATGTTTGTAGCTTTAAATGATTCTACCCCCAGTAAAATTAGTTTCAAAAACCAAAATCATACTGGCTTCAGCCTTACAAATCTTTAGCAGTTATTTTATCTGTCACATTTTCAAACCTATTTTTGCAACCACCTGGGACTACAAAAAGCAAATAAACAAAAGGGACACTCGGGATTCTAAGGGTGCTTTTTAGCCAGAAGTGTTACTAAGGGCTGCCCAGCAACCCATAAGATAAAGGGGCACAGTACGAATCTGCCTGCAGATAATAACTGGTTCCTAGGCCAGTGTGGTGTAGTGGTTAAGAGCGGTAGACTCGTAATCTGGTGAACCGGGTTCGCTTCCTCGCTCCTCCACATGCAGCTGCTGGGTGACCTTGGGCCAGTCACACTTCTCTGAAGTCTCTCAGCCTCACTCACCTCACAGAGTGTTTGTTGTGGGGGAGGAAGGGAAAGGAGAATGTTAGCCGCTAAGAGAATCCTTAGGGGGAGTGAAAGGCGGGATATCAAATCCAAACTCCTCCTAGGTGGAACAGTGACTGCACATGAAGCACCCTCCATACACGCCATGCAAGAAAATTTATATTTGAAGTACTTTTTGTTCAGCCCACCTATGTTGGCACTACAACGACAGGAGAAGCAACTGTCTGGATAGGCTCACCTGAACATGCTTCTGAATTTGCCTTAGATTTGAGATTTTCCTTGCAGCCCATTCACACAATATGCATTCTGGAGGTACACTGCTGGTATCCCATGTATATTTGTAGGGATGCACGAGGAAACTAATAATTGTCTTCCAGGATCAGACCAAAGGTCCATCACTCTGTCTTCCATACAACTAGCCATTGAGGTGCTCCCAAGTAGGCAGGGCTGGCACCAGCAGTTGGCATCCCTGGTTACCTGTTCAGGCCCGCGCTCCAGTGTGAGGCTTTGGAGCCTCCTGGTCCTGTTTCTGCTCCTCCTCCTTGCTATTTCTGCCTGTTTAGCTGCCATTTTTTCAGCAAAGGAACCTGCAGCAACTCTTAATAAATGGTGCATTCCTTGCCCTACCATTGAGGCATGTGCTCTTACATACACTGCCCCACACTGGAAGCAAGGGACAGGGGCAACTATACAGCTACCAGAGCTACCAGGTGTTAAAGACCCACCTGCTAACTATGTTGGAGTGGTTAGTTGCTGATGCTGTTGTTTTATCTGTTTAATTATTGATGCATTGTTTTATTGAACCTTATTTGTTCTTTTAACTTTCTTGGTTATTCACCCTGGGTTTCTTTGGATGAAGCAGGGAGGTTATAAATGTATTTACATAAATAAACAAAATCAAAATATTTGTATACTCTTGTTGCAGGTCTGAGTCAAAGACTGTGCTTTTAAGTTTCCAGCCTGTTTTACCTTTGCCCCCCCCCCCAATAATCCATTGCTAAATTCTGAGCAGAGGGCTTTGTTTTTTAACTTGTTAACTCATGAATATTATTTGCAGATAATAAGGCAGCAATTTCCGCAGTTAACAACAAGAAGACTGGGAACCAGAGGCCAGTCAAAGTAAGCAATAATGTGTGTTTCATAATCACGGAAAGGCTAAGTATGGTCGTAGGTTATTCACTGGGAGCCTTTTTGTAATATGGCTTTTGGTGTGTGTTGAAGGGAGAAACACCAAACAAATCTGACCTTCTTTAGGTCCAGTAAAGGGCACTGGCTCTTTTGTTCGATATGCTTTGTTCTGTGGGATCAGCAGTGCTACTGAGAGTCTGATATGCAACAGAGCGACGGAGCTCCTAAACTTCTAATAGTTGCAGAGAAGAGATTGCTTTAGCAGCAACCAAAACTCTTTTCCTCTCCAAGGCTGTTCAAGGTGTAGAAACGCTGCCTTCTGCTGCAGTGGGTCACCTTGGACTCAGATTTGGGCGGAAAGAATGCCAGGGCTTTACAATTCGCAAAAGATAACAAGATGCTTGCTTTCTCTTCATCAGAAGAAGAGATCAGTGGTCATCTTGCCAGTTTGCACATGGGTGTGTCTGGATGCTTCCAGATTGGGAGGGGCCTTAATACTGTAAATGGGTCGTCCATATATAACAAACAGGTTGTTGGCAGCAGGCTCTTTAATTGGATTTTCCTGGTTTATCAGATTAAATTGGAGGGGGATATAGACTGGGATTTTTATGCCAACAACATGGTGTGGGTGGGAAAGAAATGCAATTCAGTTTGCATTTAAAGGTAAACCTAACTTATTCACACTTTCTGAAACACTGTGCAAACCAAAACACAGCCAGTCTTTGGAATTCACATTTTTCCAAATTAGCAGTGCACTTCTCCAGCCGAGTAATGTGTATAAAATGCATATACTAAGTTACAGGGTCACATAAATATGCATATATTTGTGAAAATATCATAGAGAAATGCATTATATTAGGCAAAAGTTCCATACAAAAATGTGTATAAGTTGGAGGAATTTGTACTAAAATGCTGTTGGCTTTTTTATGAGGATTAAAAAACAAACCCACAAACTTTTGTGGAAATGTGGACTAAATTTAAGATGGGGGGGGGGGGACTGGGAGAAATCAAAGTGGACATGATGGTCCATCCCTTGTATGGATGCTGTGAAAAACGTTAGCACATGAGAAGCACCCATCTCACAAGAAGCATCCGTCTGGAAGCACCCCATGTCACAACCGGGATAACATATATGGGCTTTTTAAATTCCCCCAAAGCAGCCGGAGGAAGGACAGCTGCAGCTTCTCCCTCTCCTGTAATCTACCCTCTCCCCTGCCTGCTGGTTGGTACAACTGGAGTCCTCCCAGCAGACAAGGGAGTGGGCAGCATATGGCAGGTGAGAGGAGTAGCAGGTAAGAGAAGCTGTGTCCCTCCCTGTATTGGATATGTAAAGCTATATTTCATATTTCATACTCTCTAGATTGTTATTAAACTGCCTTCCTTCCATCCAACCTCAGACATGGAGGGAAGGCTGAAGCTTTGCAGTTTTTGCTTTTCCATTCACACTTGATGCTTGTTCTGGACTGGAGGTACGCTAGAATCAATACCAGCTCCTCTCTTGTGCTTTATCAGCTGCCTGACATCCAGAGATAGAGGAGGTCAAGTTTTTTCTAATGCTTCTCTCACCAGGCCAACCTGGCAAGGAAAACCTGGCTTTGCTGCCACATGTAAGCTGAACAGGCAGGTGCAGCCACTCACAGGTCCCTGATTTCTGCCCCCACCTATTTCTCACAACCACACATTTCATTTTAACATGTGCACCGATAGGGTTTGCATGAATGTTTGCTGGCTGCCCGAAAAGGAGTGGGGACCCAAGGCCTTTCCTGGAGGGCATCAGGAAGAAGCTCCAGGTGCACCGAGGCGCAGTATTTCAGGACGATGCAAGTTGCAGGAGGTTGAACTAGATGACCCTCCCAACTCTACAGTTAATGGGACGCGGGTGGCGCTGTGGTCTAAACCACTGAGCCTCTTAGGCTTGCCAATCATAAGGTCGGCAGTTCGAATCCATGCGACGGGGTGAGCTCCCATTGCTCGGTCCCAGCTCCTGCCAACCTAGCAGTTCAAAAGCACACCAGTGCAAGTAGATAAATAGGTACTGCTGTGGTGGGAAGGTAAATGGCGTTTCCATGCACTCTGGTTTCCGTCATGGTGTTCCCTTGCACCAGAAGCACTTTATTTATGCTGTCCACATGACCCAGAAAGCTGTCTGTGGACAAATACCGGCTCCCTCGGCCTGAAAGCGAGATGAGCGCCGCAACCCCATAGTCTCCTTTGATTGGACTTAACCGTCCAGGGGTCCTTTACCTTTTTCTTTGATTCTATGATGTGGTGTGGACAAGGAGCACAAAAAGAAATGAAACACTGGCCCTCTTGTTTCATGCAGTGCCCTGCTGCCATGGGGAAGGGGTAGCCAATGTTTTGCTCTGCAGATGTTGCTGGACTTACCTTCCATAATCCATGATTATTGGTCACGTTGTCTGGGGCTGATGGGGGGTTTGAGTCTAACAACATCTGGAGGCCCCACTTTGGCTACCCCTGCCATAAGTGGCTTTGTGAGACGCTGCTAGAAGCCATTCTCTCATGGCTGTTCTTTGTATCCTCCTAAGTAACTGTATAGACCATTTACCAGGAACTAAAGGGAGGTCTGTACATCTGTGGCTTAGTTTGCACTAAGCATCTGGACAGGAGGCTTCCTTGGGCAGGAGGCAAAAGCACTGGGCTCTTCCACATTTGGCAGCCCTTAGGATACTTCTCCAGCCGGACTGGACTGTGAATTGCTTTGAACATTGCAATTACATTCCGTTGCTGGATTTTCACTCGTGCATCAACTTGTAAATTGGCGTAAAATCTGCTTCGTTCGCAGTTTCCTTTTTAAAAACCATACTGAGTGAATAACTCCTTTCTGAGGGTCCCCACCCCCTCCCGCTAACAAATGTGTATTTCAACATTTCAGGTACCATTACTATGGGATTGCAGTAAAAGAAAGCTCCCAGTATTATGACGTGATGTATTCTAAGAAAGGAGCAGCCTGGGTCAATGAAACAGGAAAAAAAGAAGTCACCAAACAGACAGTGGCGTATTCACCACGATCCAAACTGGGGACGTTGCTGCCAGAGTTTCCAAATGTCAAAGATCTAAATCTGCCAGCCAGCTTGCCAGAGGAGAAGGTGACTCTAGTGAAATAGTCTCTGGCTTGCCTTCCCCCCCACCCCCTTTTGCTCCTCTGTTGAGGAATGGTTGGTCTATTATATGGGGGGAGGGTCACCCTTTGAAAAGAGTGAGTTTAAGGATGCTCTGACTTTATTTGGGGGGGGGCTTAACTGCTCGCTGCGCCAGAAACAAGTATACCACCCCCCTTATCTTAAAGTGTTTGTTTTCCAATGTATATGTGGCAGGATGCTTGCCAATCTAGACATGTGGGAGATCTGTGGCTATGTCTCCCAACATGACTTACTTGGTTTAAGAACCAACCACAGGGAGTGGAGGAGGTATGTAGCTCAAGGCCAAAGGGCAGGGCGTTAATTCCCTCCTGCCTATGCCATTTCCTTGACTTAAATTGCAACCCCATCACTTATCTCCCACATCATGTCTAGTTGGGCAAGTCGGTGATTGTGAAAAAATACATATATATATGTGTGTGATCCTTTTGATCATAAGGATAGAGATAGGTAGGTAGGTAGGTAGGTAGATATAGCAGATATCCCATGTTTTTTTTTTTATCTGGAGGAGGAGAAAGAGCCCTATATCGATATATTTCCAGCACTCATCCTGTCTGCAAACGGAAGCCCATTTTGCCAGAGAATATTATGGGCCAAAGTGGCAGAACCTCAGGCAGCTTCAAAGAGACAGTTTGCTTTGATGAGGTCCAAAGCCCAACTGGACCCTCTCAGGCTCTGCTCATGTGCTGGGGAACACAGAGTTTTGAATGGGCCGCTCTTGCAACCTGGGCCCTAGCCTAGTTTTCTGTCACTTCTCCATTATTTTCTCACTGGCTATGTTCCATATATTGGTCAGTATAATTGGGAGAAATCTAATACAAGAGTCTTAGGCTTAGAGTTGTCTAGCTAAAGGTCTCCAGCTCAAGGCGTTTCTCTCTGTGTGACTTGGGCCTTCCACAGTCTGTGCCCCCAGCCCTCCTGACTCAGCCAGACCCTCACTCTCTGTGTCACAGGGAAGGATCTTAGCTCAGTGGGAGAGCATCTGCTTAGCATGCACAAGGGCCCAGAATCAATCCCTGGAATTTCCAAGTAGGGTTGGAAATGTCTCATGTCTGAAAGAGAGACAGCAGCTGCCAATCAGTGTGGACAATACTGAGCTAGATGGAGCAGCTCAGTATAAGGCAGCCACTACCTGTTTTCCTAATGGCCGAGTCGTTGCCTGGAGTCATGGCCATGATGATCTTAGATTATTGCTATGAAAAGAATATCTTTTAAAAATATTGTTTCCCTCCCTTGCCAGGTGTCCACTTTTATTATGATGTACAGAACACACTGTCAGAGGATACTCGACACTGTAATAAGAGCCAACTTTGACGAGGTTTGTAGGAAAATAATAATTAAAAGTTTCATGGGCAACAGAGTAGCCATCTGTATTGTACTTGTAGATAGTGGGGAAGCCTCTGGTATTTATAGTTGGCTGAGCTGCTGTGATGGTTTAAAATGCTGAATTTCAAACACGGACCTGGTTGCACATCATGGTAAGCCACAGTTTGTTTTGAGCCATGGTTTAATCATGAACATGCCTCCCACTGCCGCAAGGGCCTCCACACAGCTTCTCCCCCTCCCCATGTGGCTCCTACATGGTTCAAATAAGCCATGATATGGCTTATCATGTTGTCTAAAGCAGCTTGTTTGCTTCAAACAAAACCACAAGTGGTAAGCCAGAAATAAACCAAGGGACGTTCACAATTAAACAATGGTCTAAGATAAACAGTGGCTTACTGTGATGTGAGGATGAGGCCATTCTCAACGACAGAATCTTCTCCCTCCCAGTCAGCCCACCTGACCAGTATCTGTGCACCAGTATCAACACATTTTCCTAGAGGAGGCTCTGCTTAAAGGTGTGAGAGATATTGTTTGCACAGGTCTGGTGCAAACTCTTTAACACAGGATTAGCCATTGTGGAGCCCTCCAGATGTTGTTGGGCTACACCTGTTGTCACCGCTGACCATTGCAATGCTGGCTGGGGCTAATGAGAATTGGAGTCCAACAACATCTGGAATCTATGTTGGCTACCTCTACCTAAACAGTTTGGGATCAGATTACATAAGGGATCACCTTGCCTCATACATTTGACCACTTTGACCTGTGGAACTTACACTTTTACAAGTGCCACATAATGTTCTTCATTTGTATGTATGTTTGGTGGTTTTTTTTTTAAAGTTTTGTGGATTTTCGCTGCATTTTATCTACAGATTTAATATGCATGCTGCTTAGAGAGCTCTTTGACTAAGTGGCTTCTGAGTCTTTGTAAATAAATGAAATGCAATAAAAAATAGTCTGCGGCTGACAGCTGCACACGTGGGATGAGATAAACTGGGGGTGGGGGAGAGTCTGATAGCTGTTTCTCTGTACCCTGAGTTCAACTACCTTCCTGCTGTGAAGTGATGTTATTGGTAGTGGTCAGCGGAGTAACAACACTTAACCTGACCTCCCATTGCTGATGTCATCAAGGAAGAAGGAGAGGTGTGAGGGGACCACAAGGTTGGTGCTGTGCAAACGCATTGGGGTATGTGTGTCTGATCAGCTCCACTGGTGCATTTGCACTGCACTGACCTCTCTTGTCACCTTGCCCCTCTCCAAGTAAGGGCCACCACCCCGCCCTGCTGACCGCTAGTGGTTGTTGCTTGGTTATCTAGGCAATAAAAAAATATTACCAGCTCCATTTCTTCCTTATGTCTTGGCACACCTCTAGGTTCAAAGTTTTCTTCTGCACTTTTGGCAAGGGATGCCACCTCACATGCTTCCTGTATTGGGTTCTTCCACAGTAGTAAACATTGTTGGAGTTTGTGATTCAATATTGTACAAAGCTATTTCCGGAGTCTTGATGCCAACGGTGTTGCAGGCATTACCTGATAGGTGAGTCTGTTCTGATAGGCCAGTCTGTATGTGCATCTGTGCTCATGCACATGTCTTTGAGTCAAAGAATGTTGCACTTGCACAATGTTTAATAAAGAGGCTTTCTAGAAGTGGCTCGTCCCGTGGGTCACAGCTGTAGGGTCATTGCTGCTTGACGTTTTCCAGGAGGGGAAGGGGTGAGGTGGTAGAATGCTGGATTGGTGGTGGGATACTGGATTTGCCCACACCGTGCTGACCTCCCAGCTGCATAGCTGCTCTGCTTTTTGGTAAGTGATGCCGCTACTGGGAAGCTGGCATTGCAGCTCCAGCCCACTGTGTGAGCAGCTTCTGGGGAAGTGTTGGTGCTGACCTTTAAAGCCCTAAACGGCCTCGGTCCAGTATACCTGAAGGAGCGTCTCCACCTCCATCGTTCTGCCCGGACACTGAGGTCCAGCGCCGAGGGCCTTCTGGCGGTTCCCTCACTGCGAGAAGCCAAGTTACAGGGAACCAGGCAGAGGGCCTTCCCGCCCTGTGGAACGCCCTCCCACCAGATGTCAAAGAGAAAAATAACTACCAAACTTTTAGAAGACATCTAAAGGCAGCCCTGTTTAGGGAAGGTTTTAATGTTTAATAGGTTATTGTATTTTAGTGTTTTGTTGGAAGCCGCCCAGAGTGGCTGGGGGGACCCAGCCAGATGGGCGGGGTATAAATAATAAATTATTATTATTATTATTATTATTATTGAAACATACATTTATAAATAACATTAGCATTATTATAAAGAGCCACCCAAATGTATCTGATACAGTATGTTGTTTCGGACTGAGTTCAAAGGGGAAGGAGGGGAAAGGTGAAAGTTGCACATACAGGAACATAGGGCAGAATAGCCTGGAAGAAACAACAACCTTTATATTCTGTGCAGATTTCACAAGCAAGATAGTTATATGTTTTAAATACTAAACACCTGCATGTTTGAACTACAGTGGTACCTCGCAAGACGAATGCCTCGCAAGACGAAAAACGCGCAAGACGAAAGAGTTTTTCGTTTTTTGAGTTGCTTCGCAAGACGAATTTTCCTATGGGCTTGCTTTGCAAGACGAAAAACGAAAACGTCTTGCAAGTTTGTTTCCTTTTTCTTAAAACCGTTAATACCCTATGGGAAACCGTGCTTCGCAAGACGAAAAATTCGCAAGACGAAAAAACTCGCAGAACGAATTAATTTCGTCTTGCGAGGCACCACTGTGCCCTGTTTCTGTCTTTGACTATTCTGACAAACTACTTGCCTTCCTTCCTTCAAGAATGAGTAGAGTTGATCGATGTTTTGTGTGCTTTTGTGTACACTTCAGATTGCTCTTGTTTTGCAACACATTCTGGGTACAAACCTATACATGCATATTCAGAAGGAGCAAGTCTCACTGAGTTCAGTGGGGCTCCCCCAGCCCTGTTAATTGTGTATGGGACTGCAGCATCAATAACTTAAAAGGTCATTGGGGCAAAGGGTAGATTAGGTGAGCCATTAGTTTCTCATGGCTGCAGGCATGAATGCAGAGAAAGAGGTTCAGCATAGATTTCTGAAGTGGTACTTTCCTTTTCAGCTTGACACAGGTGATACGCAAGTTTGCCAAACAACTGGACGAGTGGCTAAAAGTGGCTCTTCATGACTTGCCGGAAAACCTACGAAATATCAAATTTGAGCGTATGTATTGTATAATTTCTTACTTTGGTCAGGAAAACAACATGGTGTTACCTGTTATTGGTAACAAACATAGAAAATATTTCCCCCCCAAAAAAATTCTGTTCCTTTTGGCGGGAGTTCCTTGCACATTCATCTTTACATCATTTCATCAGACCATATGCCATCCCACATCAGTACAAGTGCCCAAATACTTATTTATTTCCATTTATGAATCACTTCCTGGAAAATACCTTGAAGGGATTTAACAATTTAAAAAATCAACAATAAAAAAAATGCAAAAAGTTCATAAACAATTTTAAACATTTCATTTGAAAAACCATTTCAAATTTGACACAAGCTGGGGTAAAAAAAATAAATCCACATAAAAGGCTTGTTGAAAAAATAAAGTTTTCTGAAAGCGCCAAAAATGCAATAGAGATGGTGGCTATCTGATATGAAACAGGAGTTCCAAAGGGAAGGTTCTTCCATGCTAAGGGCCAAATTCTAGCATTGTATAGGATAGATTTGAAGGAGTTCCTTTCTTACAGAGCACAGTGATCACGAACCCTCCAACATTTCTCCGATGAAAATAGGGACGTCCCATTCCATAATGATAATTTTACTATTTATACCCTACACATTTTACTGAGTTGCCCCAGCCACTCTGGGCAGCTTCCAACATATACAAAAACATAATAAAACATTAAACCTTAAACAAACTTCCGCATATAGGATTGCCTTCGGATAGCTCAGGGATTGGATAACTCCATACCCTCCAACATTTCTCCAGTGAAAATAGGGACATCCTAAGGAAAAGTGGGACATTCCGGGATCAAATCAGAAACCGGGATGGCTTCTCTAAATTAGGAATGTCCCTGGAAAATAGGGGCCCTTGGAGGGTCTGTGATCAGTCGGGTATATAAGGGATGTGATAATCTTTTAGGTATAACACTTGGCACAGCACTGAGTCAAAATTAACTGATAATTCCTTTTGGCTATGTGAACCAAGCTGAACTTTCTCTTCCGTGATGGCCTGGATGTAGTTTTAGTGAATCCAAAACCATTAAACAACTCTCCAGATTTTCGGCTGTTTGAATACAGCTCGAGGCCTTTGCTCAGAAAAGGTGGCAGAGTTAAAAATGGAGGCGATCAAATTACCCTATCTCCACGGGAAAGGGCACCACACTCTTTTCAGGCATGCTTTGTAGATGCCTGCAGTGCACATCACCTATTGATAAAGTCTGCTTTATTTCATGGCTCTCAATTCTTCTCCTTTTATAAGTGCCAAATTCCACATCACAAAGTTGAAAAAGAGGGGGGAAGAATGAGAAGGAGATGAAAGGGGAGGGAAAACTAATTTAGGAAAAGGATTAGGCATTGATTAGCATGAAAAATTAAAATAACCTTTTGTGGAGGAGACTTGGGATATAAACTTCTCAATAATATTTTTGTAATTTCATAATTTATTCAAATATTATAGGTTCAGTCCTTCTCTCAAAATTAATTGTGGTTTGCTATTAGCTTTACTAAAGCAGAACTGCATCCAGAGAGAATTATTTGGAATGTTTTCCCCCTGGTTAAGTCAGTACTAAGTATATGATGTATTCTACATTTGTTTTACAGATGAGATTTTTATTGTTGGTTTTTTGTCATGCACTACTATGATGATATATATATTTAATGTTGATGGCATAGAAAACTTTGCAAGTAATAAATAAATAACTTGCTACAGGAAAAAGTTTTTTTCTGACTCTAGGTCTGTGCAATTTATAAGTTTTGTTGTTGACCTAATTAAGCATTTTTTTTGTACAACAATATTCAGTTGTAGATTACTGCAGTGATTCAGTATAAAAATACTCTTAACATGTTTAGTTTATTCTGCAGAGCTTTGGATGCATCAACAAGTTCATAAACATCAACAAATATTTGTTTACATTTTTCTTAAAAGAAAATGAAAGACTAATCATGTAAATTACATTATTTGGATTTATTCCTGAAAATAAAGATGTGAATTTATATACCAGTAATAAGCAAACACACACCAGCAAATAATGTGGATTTTGCTTGCATAAATGGACCCAGATTTCAGGTGATAAGTGTCCTACAGTTACTAGCCCCAAATCAGTCCCACTTAAGTCCACTGAAATCAACAGGACAGGATGGTCACAGTGAATCCTGCAATCCTATACCTCGTTAACCTGAGGGTATGCCTCATTGTACACAGCAGAACTTACTTCTGAGTAGATAGGATTGGGCTGCACCATGGATTTCAGTGGCAGATTGGCCTTGGTCCATAGAAAATTAATTGTGCTGATTTGGATTCCAAAAACAGGAGTTTTAGTAAAAAGTCAAAAAGTACCACTCCAACTAAGATACTTTTGTTTGTTTGATAACAAAAATAACCAGTCTGGTTTATTATAATAAATATCTTCTTCATTGGCAGTATCCAGAAGGTTTTCTCAAATTCTTCGGAGACAGACATCCTTAAATCATCTTTGTCAGGTATTTTGTCTTTATTACAAGGTCGCTTTATCTGTGGTTTATTGATCCTTTGCTTTGGCAGCTGTATAAATACCAGGGCCGAGTCAAATTTTCTCAGAAAACATTTTTCTGACATAATTTTCTTTTATGAGCTCCTCTCCCCTACTGGAGAAATTCAAACATCTCCAGAATATTTGGTAGAATATTTGGAGAATATTTGGTAGAATAGCCTCTCCCACGTTGCCTTCCATGGTCTCTGGACACAACTATTTTAATATTGTTTAAAGTATATCTTTAGGTTCATAGTAGAGTAGCCACTTAAATTTTGGTAAAAATGCTGCCACCTCGGGGAAAAGCCCCCAAGAGCCGCGCGCTCTTTAAAGGGTGTGCGGCTCCTGCGGGCTTTGATTGAGGAGGGAGAAGGGACTGGCTGGCTGCGTCAGTCCTTTCTCTCTCCTCGGGGAAAAGCCCCCAAGAGCTGCGCGGAGTGTGTGTCTTGGGGGCTTTTCCCACCTGCCTCCCGCCTGCATTCGCTCCATAAGACGCACACACATTTTCCCTTACTTTTTAGGAGGGGGGAAGTGTGTCTTATGGGGCGAAAAATACGGTGTTGAAGGCCTCATATGCAGCGGTGAAGCAAGCTGATCGGGCGCCTGGGGTGGCGCACGTGCCCTGTGCCCAGGGGCGGGGCCAGCCAGGGCAAGACGCTCCGTGGGGCCTCCGAGGAGTCTGCCTTCCTCCTCCCACTCAGCCGTCCTACAGCTGAGGGAGAGGCGGCGGGCGGACCATTTGGGACAACATGGAGCCTGCAGGTGCCCAAGCCACCGCGTCATTCCCAGGAGAGACACGTAGCTCAGGCACACTGTGAGTGCCGCCCGGCATTTTGTCACCCCCCTCAGTAGTGACACCCGGGCGTCCCGCCCCCACCGCACCCCCCTTCCTCCACCCCTTCTCACACGATGATGGTTCGCGTCTCCGCTCCTCCACATGCAGCTGCTGGGTGACCTTGGGCTAGTCACACTTCTCTGAAGTCTCTCAGCCCCACTCACCTCACAGAGTGTTTGTTGTGGGGGAGGAAGGGAAAGGAGATTGTTAGCCGCTTTGAGACTCCTTTGGGTAGTGATAAAGCGGGATATCAAATCCAAACTCCTCTTCTTCTAAAAAGAGAAGTGCCATGAGACAAGCACTCTGCGTTTTTCCATCCTCTTCCCTAAAAGCCGCCCCCCTCCCTGGAGCATCAGAGCTAGTTATGGTCATACTAGTCACCATTATTATTTCACATATGGGGGGTGGGGCAGAGCTGCAAATGTGTTTGTGCTATTGTGCCTGCAGCCTCAGTTTCACGTGGAAGGTGTGTGATTTCAGGTGCCTCTTTGCATGGAACTGAAGTAGCAAATTCACAGTGTGAGGATTTTGTTTTTGATGTGATAAAAGGTATGGATTAGCCTTTGGTGTGTCTAAAGGAGTAAGCCTACCGACCGGGCCCTTGCAGACACAGTTCAAGGGTGGAGATTCCGACTCCAGTGCGTGTTTGTTCTTCAACTGATGTGCAATTAAAACAACAACAACACTGTAGAGCAAACAACACTGTAGCACAAACAAATGGAGGTAATCTGTTTAGGTGAGTAGAGAAGTAGGGAAAATTCAATTCAGTTTGCATTTAAAGCCAAAGCTATCAAATTCTCACTTTTCAAAACAATTTGCAAGTCAAAACACAGCTATCCTTCAAAAGACATACCCAAATTTTGTGATGCAATTCTTCAACCAACCATTGTTTAGAAATACGCATAGATTAGGGGGAAGTGTGCAAGATGTTCATGAAAATAACATACAAAAATGCATTAAATTGGGGGAAATTGCTTGCAAAAATGTGCACATTGGCCCAAACTGCATATAAACACGTGTTTATTAGGAGAAATTCAGACTTAAATGCTGTTGAATTTTCATGCAGATTAAAAAAAAAATTCAAACTGTTGCAATGTGGTGAGCTCAATTTAGGATTGTAAAAATGAGAAACTGATGGAACCGAAATGGACCGATCCTTCCATCCCTAGTAGTGAGTAGATAGATGGATAGATGCCTGTTGTGACCCACAATGCTTCTAGATTAGAATCCATGAGAAAATCAATTTAGTGAGACTTGCCAAGGAAGCGTGTAAGGGGATAAAAGTCTATTTTTCAAGCTAATAAACCATGAGCTAATGAGTTGCTTGGACTGGATTATAGGCATCAAGAACCGTGATCCACAGTGCGGACATCACATTCCAAATGCTGGAAGACTGGAGGAATGTGGACCTTAACAGCATTACCAAACAAACGCTATACACCATGGAAGACTCGCGGGAGGAGCACAGGAAACTTATAATACAATGTAAGGATATAAAAACCCTCAGCTCTGATGAGAGAGGGCAGCTCTGGACCTCATGGCAAATACAGAGCGTGCCAAAGTAGTTGCTCTTTGACATCAGCAAGGCTCCTCTGTGCATCCTAATCTGTTGATTAAAAGCGCAAAAGACAACAAGTGGCTGGCAGTAGGAAGATCCTTGGGGAAAGAGCAGCTGCTTAACCCTTTCCCTCCCTGCCGTTTGTCCACTCAGATTTCCTCCCTACTCTCAGCAGCTCTCCCACCTGCAGGGCAGAAAGAGAAGACGAAGTGAGTCAATTGCATAGGAGAGTCTAAAATGCTTTTATTCCTCCTGCCTCTTCTAATGCACATGTTAAAATTTATGTAAACTAAGTACAGGACCCAGATGCGAGATAGTGTCTTGGACATGGAGCCAGGTGCAAAATGGTGACTCAGGAGGTGGAGCCATAAGTTTTCTGGAAAACCATATTAAGCAAGTTCAGAGTGAGAATATGATGTAGTAACTCCCACTCTGTGCAATGGGGCCTACTCCCAGGCTTTAATCACATTTTATTTTCCTGCTGTGTTTTAAATGGAATGTTGCTCTTGTTGGTTTTGAGCCACTTCGATCCATTGCAAAAAGCAGCCTGGAACTTTTCATAAGCAAAGCCATTGCAAATACATATCTTTAAAGTTTACCTCCCTGTGGCAAATCTGAAAGATGGTATTCGTCTTGTAGATAATATCCCGTAATTTCTTTGAAGTCATTAAATATGACAGTTTGGTAGGTTTTGATAGGAAATAGCTTGCCTTTTAGCTATGGCAAATAAATAAATGTTGCTAGCATCAGTTACGTATTTGTGGAGCGTTTACTGATGGGAAGGCCGTCAGCCGCTCTTGGGTTCCAATAGCATTTTGATGCATTTCTAAATCAATTTCATGCATGACCTTCTTTATCAAAAGGGTCAGAGCCTAGCTTTCGCTCTTGGAAGAAAGACGATCATTGCTGTGTCTCTAATTTACTTATAGGCAGGCACCGCTGGAAAAATGGGGGGGGGGGAGAGAAAGAGTGAGGGAGATCAAACGCAGCAAATGTTTTTTGCTTTTCCATGTTTTTAAAGAAAGAACAGCCCATATTTTTATAAAGTGAAGAAACTGTCAAAAAATGGTGCGGAAAACAAGGAAAGTGTTACTGATTTCCCCCTCCCCATTTTACTCCAGTAAGAGGGCAACAGTAATTTATTGTTTGGATTTGGGTTTTCTTTCTGCCAGTATATCAAGAGTTCGATCACCTTCTGGAAGAGCAGTCGCCCATTGAATCCTACGTGGAATGGCTGGATTCCATGGTGGACAGATGCGTCGTAAAGGTCAGTAGGAAAAAAGAATGGTGAAGGTAACACTCAGAGTGTGGAGCTCTGTGTCTAGCCATTTCCCTTCTAAAAACAAAGCTACAGCACATGGTTAGCTAGGAGAACGCTTAACCATGTATCCTTGTTCAGACGACATGCTAAGCCAGACCTTGGCTTAGGTTGGTGCAGCAGTGAAAATGACCAGGGAGATGCAAAGCAGCTGTGAGCACCTCTGTGACAGCAGCTTGCGTATGCACACATTCTCACTAAGCCATAGTTTGACTTATCTTGTTGTTCATATCAGGTCTCTTATTATGTCGCATTGTACTGGCGGGCCAAAAAAGTAGCTCGTGTGGGTGGCCTTGACTCTGAAAACGCTAACGATAAAAAGTGATTACTAGTTGCCGGCTGTCAAGTGTTGATTTTTAGTTATTCTGCTAGCAGAAAGCCCACCAAACAGCTGGAATGTAGCTACGGCTGTTGCATATATATCTGCGCACATGCTAATTTTTGACCCTTTGCTTCCAGGCCTGGTAAATATGGCAGTTTCCCCTTTCCTTGATGCAAGGTGTCCTGGTTGTTTGCATGCAAATAGGTCTGAGATGAGCATGACAATTGGTGTAATGATTGTTGGTGTCATGGTGGCACTTCTGATACCCCCAACACAGGGGAAAGCAGGGGTGTTCCTCTGTGCAGTTCCTAGAGGGAAGGAGTACTTGTGGTACTCTTCCCCCCCCCCCCCGATGAAAGATTGGAGGTCCCCCAAAGACAGGTTCTCTGTTCCCTCTCTGCTTTATGTTAGCATCTCTCCCACCCACACCAGTGAAATCATTCAAAAGGAGAAGGTAGACTTGCAGACTTTTATTTTTTAAAAAATCTTCTTTATAACTATTCATATGAAATTACAATTGAATGTAGCTATCTAAGAAGAAGATAGAAGAACACATGCAATGTTGTCCTTGGCTGGCTGTAAGTAAGTACAGTGAAGACGCATCTGATCTGAATCACATCCATTTCTTTTTATTGGCAGGTAGCTGCTAAGAGACAAGGCTCTTTGAAGAAAGTTGCTCAGCAATTCCTCTTGATGTGGTCTTGTTTTGGCACCAGGGTTATTCGGGACATGACGTTGCACAGTGCTCCCAGCTTCGGTACTTTCTCTTCATATCAACAGTAAAAATATTTTTAGAGAACAATTTTTAAAAAATAATAAAAACAGGAAGTGGAATTAAGATTTTCAAAATATGCAATCTAGCTGTTTTGTTTTCCAGAGCAAAAGGCTATGTTTTCCACCTTCATAAGGATCACCAATTACCAAAATTTGGTCTGCTCAAGTGGTTACCTGATTATTCATGTACCATGTTGCTCATGGAACCCTAAGATGTAGACTACAATTGAATAGTGCCCTATACCCAATTTCTTTCTGCATTGCCACTCACAGCCTGTTGAGTCAGCAAGCTTCAAACCACTGCCCATTCACTTCTACTCGAAAGAGACAGAGGACAAAAATGGCAATAAATGTCTAGTTCCTAGAGTTTCCATCTGTTTCCTCACCCTTTCTTTTTCTGGTAGTTGGTTGTAAAAAAATGGCTTAGTGAGGCTAAAAGTAGATGTTTAACTGCTGTCAGAAGAACACAAGATGAGCCCTGCTGGATCAAGCCAGTGTCCTCTTCTCACAGAAGGAACATAACACTCTGCAAATCTGGAGAGGTAGCTCTCTAGTAGCAACTACTAGTTACCCTTGCAGTTCAACTGAGTGGGGAAGGAAGCAGTTGGGAGAAACCAAAGCAGAACAAAACAAAATTCCACTTCCTCTAGTCTGATCCCAATTGTGTTTGGGCTTCCCTTTCATAAAGTGACCAGTAGAAGGACTACATAGGACCAATGAGTTTCTAAATGCCACGAGGATTCCATTAACGGTTTTATGCTCATGCTGTTTTGTCATCAGGATCTTTTCACCTTATTCACCTGATGTTTGATGACTACGTATTGTACCTGTTAGAATCACTCCATTGCCAGGAAAGAGCCAATGAGCTCATGAGGGCAATGAAAGGAGAAGGAGGAACAGGTAAGCTGCTTCATTTGCGCTTAAGAACATGGGGAACCTCCTGAATGCTGCTGCCATTGGCCCCTCTAGTTCTGTATCCTGTTCTCCCAGGGGCCAACCAATTTCTGTGGGAAGCCTGCAAGCAGGGCACTCTGCACACCTGCAGTTACCCGCAACTGTTATTCAGAGGCATACTTCCTCTGATGGAGGAGGTAAAGAAAAGCCATCAAGGCTAGTAGCCATTGAAAGTCTTGTCCTCCATGAATTTGTCCAGTCATTTTTTTAAGCCACCCAAGTTGGTGGCCAGCCCTGCCTCCTGTGGGAATGAGTTCCATAGTTTATATGCTGCATGAAGAAGTACTTTTATCTGTCCTGGATCCTCCATCATTCATGGTTGTCTGCAAGTTCTAGAGTTAGGAGAGAGGGAGAGAAACTTTTCCCTTTCCACTATCTCCATGCCAGGCATATTTTTTTAAACTTCTATCATGTCACCTCTTACTTACCTTTTCTTTAACCTAAAAAGTCCCAAATGCTCAACCTTTACTCACAGGGGAGTCGCTCCATCCCCTTTAACCTTTTAGGCTGCCCTATTCTGGACCTTCTCCAAATCTACTATACCCTGGGGAAACTTGCATCACTATTAAGCACAAAGATAAACTAAGTGGTCCATTGGGGAAGGGCCGTAAGTCATTGACAGAACATGTGTTTTGAATGTAGAAGGTCTCAGGTCCATCTCATGGTAGGGCTGGGAATGTCTCCAGCCTGAAACTCAGGGGGCGGAGGCTGTTACCAGTCAGTGTCCACAATCCTGAGTGGGACAAATGATCTGACTCAGTAGAAGGAAAGCTTTCTGTGTTCCTAAATGCATCTCCTCACCACTATTCTGGTGGGATGAGGGAAGCCACAACTAGGAAACCTATTTTCATTTGTGATGCACATGCCCCAAAGTTATTCTTCATTCATACCACCTACTTATTTTAAAAAATTGCAGTATTGTAGTAGAAAAACTACAATAGTAGTCATTGGTGTCAGATCTTACAATATACAGTATTCAGTGCTTGGCAAGGTGGGCCATACCTTTGAACCCAACAATAGTGGATCCTGAGTAAATCCCTATTATTAGTAGTACAAGTAGTAGTAGTACAATGTAGTACTAGTAGTAGTACAATTGAATTTTGAAGTCCATTGTCAAGGTACTCAGAGCTTCAGATTTTCCCTCTGTAAAGAGAAGCGCTGAGCCAGGCAGCTGTTCGGGAAGGCCATAATTCTAAATGTATGTGGACAGGCCATGCTTGGTTTGTGATCAGACACTCCACATAGGCTTTGAGGAAATTTTCTTTTATTATGACTTCACAGGTTCTTGGGCTGATCTCTGGGGCAAACTAAGGGTCTTCTTTAGAATGCTGGAAGAAGAATAGTAATCTAGACATTGTTATTGAAGTTTAACATCCTTTTTACAGAAAGGAAATAAAAAAGGAAAGGCGTGGTATTTCAGCATCTGTTTCTCCCCCCCCCCCCTTCTTTGCAGTGGAAGTACGAGAAGAGATAATACTGGCAGAACCAGTTCCTCCAAGTCCTTCCCCAGTGCCTTTCTCTCCAGCTAAATCTGCCACCTCAGTGGACGTCCCATCTGCACCCTCGCCTGTAAGCAACCAGTCTCCGGAGTATGTTGGCATAGCAACGACAACAGGTTGGTAAGGCTGAAGGTGTCTGATTGGTAGTTCACTTTTCGGGGGGGGGGGAGTAACATTCAAAACCTGAAAAAGCATGGTTGTGTGTTTGCTGCTCATTTACAGCGAATGAAGAAGATGGATCTTTCTTATGACGTCCAATCAGGACGGGGCAGTGCTCAAATTACAGGAGGGACAGGGGGAACTACATTATTTGGGGGAGGGGGTGCCCTTAGCTACTGTCTTTGAAGGCCATGTGGTGGGGGCATGATTTTGACTCAAGTCTCCCCCGTCATCATTTGAGTACTGGAATCCCATCAGAGGGGGAGCGTGTCTTGGAGGCTAGCTGAAACGGAAAAATGTCAGGCAAGGAAAGCATTAAGCACCCCTTCTCCACACCACTTCTTTGCTCCAAATTATCCCCTCCACAACTTGCTTTTTATTTGAAAAGCAGCTGCAGGAGTTCTGCTGCTGCACCTTTGAAATCTTCTCTTTCTGACCTTCAGCCCTTTATCTGTGCAGTAGATCAATAATATAGAACAACTTTGCAGGGCTGTTGTACTGCTTGTAGGGAAGGCCCACATCTCAGTGGTGGAGCACGTGCATAAAGTCCCATATGCAATCACTCCTGCCATCACCACTTAATGGGTTTTTAGGTAGCAGCACTGAGAAAGCTTTCTGCCCAGAGCAGGCTTCCTCAGCCTCGGCCCTCCAGATGTTTTGAGACTACAATTCCCATCATCCCTGACCACTGGTCCTGCCAGCTAGGGATCATGTAGGCCAAAAACATCTGGAGGGCCGAGGTTGAAGAAGCCTGGCCCAGAGATTTGCCAATGCCGATTAGTTGGACCATTGATCTAACTGAGTCTGAGAGAGCTTCATCATGGAAAAGAAATGGGCTGCATAACACCATACATTTCAAGCACATGGCTTCTTCAAAGAATTCTGTAATTAGCCCCCTCATAGAGATGCAATTTTCAGTATCTGTAACAAACTTAAAATCCCCAGGGTTCTTTAGGGGAAGACATGTGATTTAATTGTTTGACATATACACAGCCTTGCTGAAAGAACATATATGAATCACTCTGAATGCATGCAAGTATTATATAATTGTCAGCATTATTAAGATTGGTTCCGGTAAATTTAAAACTGAATACCTTTGTATAACTCGGAAGCTAATCATATTTTATTCCTAACAGATTGCAATTCCCTTCTTTCAGCTTCCATTAAGACATTGCTGCTTATTGGTAGCATTAACTATACATGTTAACTCTAAAGCCCGGCAAAGTACAATTTCTGTAGACAATCAGTGACACACACAAAAAGGCAATTAAATCCTCGAGTTTTACATGACAGCACACTCCCTAAAGGCAAGCCATCGCCAAATTGCTCCGTTGTAAAACATCTGGCAAGACCCAGCAACCTTTTCCCCTAAATCTTTTTGTTGAACTTCTGCATTCTGAAAAGGGATAATTAGGCCTTAATTCTTTTTTAAATTACAAAGCCTCGATTAATGATTGCTCAGACAACATCAATTCTGGAACAAAAGCAATGGCTATATGGTGTTCTCTCGCCCTGCTTTCTAAAGTCCTGGGATTACTCATTTGCCAGGTTCATTGTCCTTTGATGGGCCTGAACCCCTTTATAGAAATCATAAAACTTCATCAATGGATAACTAATAATTTTGCTGCCTACTTACCAGTGTGTCTTCTTGTAGTAGGCAGAATTGGGCTCAATATACATTACAGGTTGTGATCCTAGAAGCACACCTGGAAGTAAGTTCTACTAAAATCATTTCTAGATAAAGGTCATTTCTTGTAAAGGTGCTTAAGATTTGTATGTCAGTCATGAAGTGAAATCACTCCTCAAAAGACGTTGGGGGAGATGTTCAATTCAGTCCATATTTTAAAGGCAAATCTATCTATTCTGCACTTTCTGAAACAATGCATGAACCAAAACCTTCCACCTTTCGAAATTTGCACCTTTCTGAATTTTGAAGTGCAGTTATCCAGCCAAGTAACGTGTACAAAAATGCATATACTAGCACAAACTGTGCATATTAGTGAAAATTATATACACAAGTGCATTCCATTAGTGGAAATTGCTTTGCACGAATGTCTACACTATGGCAAATGGCAAACAAAACAAAAAATGTGATTAAGAAAAATTCACACTAAAATCCTGATGAATTTTCAAAATTAGAAAAATGCACAACTGGGAGAAACAGGAATTTCTATATTCAGCCATCCCTATTCATGAGGGACAACAGGTAATTGGCTCCATCTCCTAAGGCACTGTTTCATGTCTGGTTGCATATCCCAAAATACTGGCTTGCACCAAGATCCCAGTTAGTTGACCCCACACACCTGGCATCTGCCACATCTGTAATGCTTGCATATTTTAGTAGAGGTTCACAAAATACATGAATGCTAACTGGATCTTTCTATTTTACGCAGGGGCCATGCAGTCTTATACATGGTCTCTCACATACACTGTAACAACAGCTGCTGGGTCACCTGCTGAAAACTCTCAACAACTGCCTTGTATGAGAAACCCTCATGTGCCTCCTTCATCCGTTACACACAGAATACCTGTTTATCCACACAGAGAAGAACACGGGTAGGTCGCTTAGCATCATGTTCATCCACTGCATTTTTCGGCATAGCCAGTGAATAGAGTAATTGAACAGCCATGCTTGAATTCCCAGGTTTGTTTCCTGGTGCAGCAGATACAAATATGTATGGGGGGGGTGTAAAGAAAGCTATCTCTTTTGAAAACAGTAATATCTGTATTATCAGATATACCAAATGTTCACCCTAAATTAGACTGTATGTCTAAAGGGACAGATTTGTTGCATGTCTGTGTGTATTGTAGAGGGCCTCATCAATATTATTATCATCATCATCATCAATAATCACTTTCTGATACGTCATTGCTCATGTCAAAGTTCCATCTATTCCAGTATCTTGCTTTCTACAGTAGCCAAATACCTACATGAAGCCTATAAGCAGGAGATGAAGGCAGTAGCCTCCTCCTGCTGTTGATACCCTGCAAATAGTATGCAAGCACAGAAGAACTTGCTGGTGGATTGTGCCCCTTTTCCATTAGTAGATGGGGTAGAGATTTGGAACTTTCCACCTAAGGTACGACTGGGACCGCCAGTTGTGGTTGGACTACAGTCGCCATCATCTCTGACCATTGGCTGTGCTGGTGGTGAGGCGCCTGATGAGAGTTCAAATCCAACAACATATTGAGGGCCAAAGGTTCTTCAGCCTTAACCTAAGGAATAAAAATGTCCTAAGGGCATTTGCTTCCAGGTTTCAGCCATGTTGTAAGGAGTACCATGAGTATTTGCAGGGCCAGGCCCTGAGCGCAGTGAGGAGTTGCAGAACAAGGCCCTTGTTGTGTTTGTCTTGGGGAAGTTGGGTATGGCCTGGCAGGTGTGGCCAGATCAGGAGATGTGCAGTATCCGGAGGAGCATTTTCCCCTGGTTCTTTGCCACAGCAACGTGGTTTATACCCTGCTGTTGCCAGTTCCTGCTTTCGCTCCTGATCTGCTCCAGTTCCTGATCCTGCTTAAACGCTCCTGTCCTTGCTCCAGTTCCTTCTCCTTTTCCAGTTTCTTTTCCTGAGTTCCAGCCTCATCGAGTTTCCGCCCTCCATTGAACTGCTGCTATTGTTACCATCCGTACCTTGGTCCCAGCATGTCATATCTGGACTGCTGCCACCTACACATGTGGTGCTGGCAAAAGCCCTAGTCCTAGTGGAGTAAAAGTGATAGTAATGGATATGTTTTGAACATGGAGAAGAAAAAGAGAAAAGATGGTTAAGAGAAAAGGAAGGGAGGAAATACCTTAAACACAAAACAACTACAAAGCTACACTATGCTCTGGTGTAAAAATGCAGTGTAGGTATCTTGCAGCCAACCCTAGCCATGTCTATTCATGGCAGTAAGAATGACTAAATTCAATAAGACTTATTTCCAGGTCAGTGTGGTTAGGATTACAGCCTTAGTAGCACGTGAGGCTTTTTTAAATATAATGCTAAGGATCTTCTGTTTCTTTTTAGGTACACAGGGAGCTATAACTACGGCAGCTATGGAAACCAGCACCCCCACTCAATGCAGAGCCAGTATCCATCCCTTCCCCACGACACCACTATTTCCGCACCCCTCCATTACTCTGCTTATCACAGAAGCTCTTCGCAGGTCAGTTCCGTGGTCCGAGTGCTGATCCTTTCATTATTGCTTAGGATATCACAAACAACTCAAATAGACCGATATGACAGCTTTTATTTTTTTACAGGGGAGACAGTAAAGAATTCCCCATTTTTATTTATTTGAGCTTTTTTTATCCCGCTTTCAAAAGCAGGCATTCCCAAGACAGCTTACGACTTTAGCATTTCTACATTTCCAAATCAATTACTCTCTTTTTGTTGAGATAAAGCATCACGTTCAGTTCAACAGGGCATGCGCAAGAGATCCTTCCCTCAGATTTTGTACCCTTCATCCTCTGCTCCCATCTGTAAGTAGGCATGGAGAAGAATTTTGTCAATTTTGCCTGCATTTTTAGGAACGTAAGTAAACCCCTGCTAGATCCCCTGCCAAAGGTCCATCTAGTCCTTCATCCTGTCCTCAAGGTGCCAATTGGAAGCATTTGGGCAAGACCTGAGCACAGCAGTGCTCTTTCCACTTGTGATTCCCAGCACTTGATATTCAGAAGCATCACTACCCCCATCAGTGGAGGGAGAATTTTTAAGTGAACCAATCTAATTCACACCACCTGGACTCATAAGCAAGCAAGCAAAGGAGGTTGGGCATGACAACATCAGGGCCTGCTCCACACAGATTATGTCTTCCTCACCAAAGGGCCAATCTTGTTTTATTTTAGTACTTTAATGTTGTAAAATGCCTTGGGAGAAAGGCAGTATATAAATGCAACAAATATGTCTTGTTAAGGCTGCTGTTAAATGCTCTCAGGAGGAGATCCAGGTAGCGGTCCTGACACACAGGACAAAAAGATCTGGTGAAGCTGAAAAGGCTGTACTATATGTAACCCACATACACATCAATCCATAAGGATAGAAAAGAGGAAGGAGGCTAAACATTGAGATCCTGGGCAATGAGAGAGACCATCTTACCTGTGGATCCTAAAAGACCCACTGCTCAGGATGCTGAGAAACTGTTGTGAAGGAGTTTTTGTTGGGAGTCTAGATTTAATTTTGCAGGTGTTTAATTTTTGCACTCATTGATATTATGTTTTTTTTAATCTTTAATTGCTAGGCCTAATTATGAATTATGTGGGGTTGTGTAATCTCATTGCATATTGATATGTTTCATGTATTATTTATGGCTGCTTAAATTTTGTATTATTTTTGTATTATTTTTAAGTCTTCTGATGTTGTAAACTGCCTTAAACATGGCTTAACTATCAAAAGATAGCAAACATCATCATGATCCAACATCACCCTGAGGTCACCAGCAGAGTTTTCATTGATTTTGATGGATGTGGGTTAGAGTCTATACTATTTTAAAAGCACTTTGAACGCTTTTCAGTGGTTCCAACAAGGGACGAAGAAGCAATAGAGACAGAAATATATTTATATGCATCCATCCATTTAAGATTTATCCTAAGTCTGTCCTGATTTTGCCATGCAATTTTAAATGTAGTTAATAGACCTTTATTCTGAAGGTGGCTGGATGCACGTTATAACACCACAACAAGACCAAGATGTTGAGAGTACATGTTGATGTACATTACAAGGGCAATAGCACGCTTTCCAAAGTATGAGTAAAATCAGCATAAAGTTAGAGCCGCATTCAGAAGGAAAATATTTTGCTGTTTGAACAGAGACACCTTTCACCTCTTTGCATAATCAGCCGGCAAGCTGAAGGACAAGAATAAAGGGATTATTATTCAGCCTGAAACTGAAGGAACTCAGGCTTCATTGGGTGGAGGAGACACTTAAAATAGTATTTTCTGAAATAATAACGGAAAGAAACAGAGCTAATTTTAATTTGGGGCGTAGGGGGAGAAAGAGCCTTAACAATAATCGGCTTAAAGTCACCCCAACTTAAAGGGGTTAGTGTTTCTTGTCAGGTCTCAACAGCGTGGTGGTGGCAAGAGAGTTGACCCAGAAAATGGTAATTTCCTGTGAAGGGCTCTCCAACAAATGTCGCCTTTATATCTGGCAAAGATCACTAGGCCCCAGTGTTTTGAGATCAGCATGCTTAAGCACTCTTCATTAAACCGGATGCAAAGTGTGAAAGGTGATTCAGGCAGCATGGGCCGGCATCCGCGCAGATGGCGAAGCTTTGGACACTCCAACAAGGCTGAATAGATGCTTCATTGGTTGAGCTAATAGTCAGGCAGGGGCCAAGGCGGACTTTAAAAATATTGTCTCTCAATGGTCTCTTCACTGGAAGGAAAAAGAAGTCACTGACTCATTTGCAATTAGTTGACCCACCATTACAAATCTTTCCATGTTGGGGATTCAGCCGTCACAGATTTTATTGTAAAAATAGTCGATATTTGGGAGTCCGTATTATTTTTGAGCAATTATTCTTTTTTATATTCATGACACATTCATAAACACAGCTGCATCTGGGGGTATTTGGCCACACAGAGAAGCAACACACTGTATTCCTGTCGTCGCCCCCCCCCCCCCCCATTTTTGCAGTCATTTATTAGCCCTTCCTTTCTGGTCAGGCATGCTCACATTGGAATGTTAATGAAAAGTGGAAAGGCAGATCAGCACGCCACACCAACAACACATTAGGAAGTCTGTTCTTCTCTGTGCCAAATGGCACTGCCAACGAGACGAATGAAATGTGGCCCATGGCTATCCTAGGGCTTCATAGACTTAGGCTGCAGTCCTAACCGTATCTGCTCAGGAGTAAGTCCTATGGAACTCGTGAGACTACTCCCGGGTAAGTGAGTTTAGGATTGCACTGAACTTGATGGGTCTTATGGGTAAATGGGGTTAGAACTGTATCTTAGACTGGAGCCACGTCTGAAACTGTGGTGCCAGGTGTCCTGCCTGCCAGAGGGCTGAGCACACTCCCATCTGATGAGCTCAGGAGTAGATTTGTGGTTCTTGCCTATGAGCATCTCTATAGATGTCTTGCCTTCGATGCTTTACAACCAGACCCAGACTCTTCCCTATTCAGTGGTTCCCCCTCGTGCAATTCCAGTTGTGTGATCACAGAGAGTGTGGGCATGCGCCTTGCCTTTATTCCTGTAGCCTTTCACATGTTCAAACTGAATTCCTTCAGAGGGGAGGCTGACCTCATTCTGGCTTCCTGTGCAATTTGAAACCCTGTACCATCGGGGGTTCTAAATCGCATGGGGAGCCAGCACAGGTTAAGTAGAGATTTATTGTATATTAATCTATTATTATTAGTTAAAAATGCATTAGGCTAGCTTTGTTGTACCTGATTTTTGTTAGTGCAGGGGCTGTTGGTTGACAATAATCAGCTACACTACAGCTAAACATCGGGAAGAACTTTCTGACCGTAAAAGCTGTTTGACAGTGGAATGGTCTCCCTCGGGAGGTGGTGAACTCTCCTCCCTTGGAGGTTTTGAAGCAGAGGCTGGATGGCCATCTGTCGTGGATGCTTTAGCTGAGATTTCTGCATTTCAGGGAGGTTGGACTAGATGACCCTCGTAGTCCCTTCCAACTCTACAATTCTATTATGCTACTATGAACTACATGAAAATGGACACTGTGCTGACAAAATCTGTGAATCCCTCTTTGAGGCTTGTCATTAAAAGGGCTTGCATTTTCTTTTCCTCCAAAAAGTCTGCGTGCCTAACATTTTTACAATGTCATTTCATCTAGTACCCCTTCAACAGCCCGTCGTCCCGGATGGAGCCGTGCTTGATGGGCAGCACCCCAAGACTGCATCCAACCCCAGTGACTGCTCGCTGGCCAGAAGTGCCCTCCGCAAATGCTTGCTACACAAGCCCACCCATGCACTCCACGAGATACGGAAATTCCAGTGACATCTACACGCCGTTGACCACACGGAGGAATTCCGAATATGAGCACATGCAACACTTTCCTGGCTTTGCCTATATCAATGGGGAAGCCACCACAGGATGGGCAAAATGAAAATGACTTGGTAAATAGTATCAGCCTTACATATTTAATAAATAAAGACAGACACACAAAAACTTTTCAATGCCTGGCTTGTAGGTTAACGGAACTCCTACATGGGCCTTTTTAATGGCTATGAAGATTGAAAAGATCCTGGACACGAAAGTATAAGTAAAGTAGAAAGGTAAAGGACCCCCTGGATTGTTAAGTCCAGTCAAATTCAACTATGAGGTGCGGCGCTCATCTCCGCTTTCAGGCCGAGGAAGCCAGCGTTTGTCCACAGAGAGCTTTCCAGGTCATGTGGCCAGCATGACTAAACCGCTTCTGGTGCACGGAAACGCTGTTTACCTTCCCACCACAGTGGTACCTATTTATCTACTCATGCTAGTATGCTTTCTGTTGTGTACTAAGCTTGGATCGTAGAACAATAGGCAGGTAGGGGTTCCTGGTTCTGGCTCTTGTTCCGGGGCTGTTGGGTCGGGCGCTGCTGGTCCACTCGGTCATGGCTCTGGTTCCTGTAGCTGCTTGGCCTCGGGGGTCACCTCTGGACTTCCTAGTTCTGCCTCCCTTACCTGCTCCTTCTGCTCTATAGGCCTCATCCCTCTGCTGTCCCCTTGGGATTCCTCTGTCCAGCCCTCTTCGCGGTTTCCCCCCAGGAATCGTCGCCGTAGTTTATCACAGTGGTGGCACCAGGCTTGCCCCCCACCGTCGTCGCCAGTGAAAAATACTCTGAGTCCTACAGTGATTTCATGCTCTTTATTGCAGCTTGTAAAACAGTGATTGAATTTTCCCCAAAATCTCAGGCTTTTATGTACAGTACATTATTTACACAATGAGACCCAACTGATTGGCTTACAGGAGAAGACCCGATCAGGCTCCAGGAGGAAGTTAATCAGCCTATTAGGCTGGTAGGATCGTAGAATGCAACAACTGATTGGCCTGCAGGAAAAGACCAATCAGGCTCCAGGAGGGAAGCAGAATCAGCCAATCAGACAGGACTCATTGTGTAAATAATGTACATAAAAGCCTGAGGTTTTGGGGGAAATTCAATCACTGTTTTAGAAGCTGCAATAAAGATCATGAAATCACTGCAGGACTCTGAATATATTTCATTTTCGAACTGCTAAGTTGGCAGGAGCTGGGACAAAGCAATGGGTGCTCACACTGTCGTGCAGATTCGAACTGCCGATCTTCCAATCAGCAAGCCCAAGAGGCTCAGTGGTTTAGATCACAGCATGACCCGCATCCCTCTATGGAATACAAATGGGGTAGTATGGTGGGTTACTCCAACCAAGCAAGATTTTACTGCTGCTATAAAGCATGGTTATTTTGGTGTTTTCTACAGGTGTCATGCAATTGGCCTAAATTAGTTACAGCCTCACTAACCATTGAAAGTTGCTGTATCTGAACTGAGTTCCTGCTCCGTAAACATAGCTGTTGCAATTTGCCAGCTTCACAAGAGCCAAAGCTCCTCAGAGAATGCCAGAGGTGTAACGGACTTGAAAACAATCCAATCTAACTCTCAGAAATAAATCTACAAACTCCTCCACTCATTAACCCACATCTGCCCCAAATTACGATAAATCTTCCTCCCATTTTCCTGCTTGTGAGCCCCAATTTATAGTCGCAGCTGTATGGAGTCTGCATTTCTATAATCTTACCACAGGAGTGCAGAAATGGATATTGAGTGGAGAAATAGGTATCCTGGGAAAAATTCATTGATTGTAAAAATAAGTTTCTAGCCCTTGAGAAATGGGCAGGCCTGGGAGTGTTGGAGAAATTACAGTGAGATCTCAGAGGTAGGAGAAGTGGATTTCCCAAGGCCAGAAATGAACACTTCAATGCCTTGTACATCACACTAGGAGTCTCAACTGGGTAGTTGCAACCTGGCCTCAGCTATTAATTCACTAAGGTGCACGGTAGGCTTGACAGCAGCAAGCCCATGCCTTAGTACTGAGTCATTGCCAATTTACCCTAAAGAGAAGTAGTTGAGGAATTAAATGCAGCATAGGTGTGTGGGAGAGGGGTGTTTATATTCTGCTCCCACCCATCGTTCCCCACCTACCCTGCAAAACACTTCCCTGTTGTTTTCCTTCCAGGGAGCGCTAAGGCTGGAAATAAGCCCCATTAGGAGAAAAACATCTGTGGAGAAATCCAGGATGTTGCACAGATGACAGAAAGGCGCAGCATGTCCCTCCTGCCTATGCTGTGCTTTAAGCCCCCTTCCTTGGCTTTGTAGGTGTTTGACTCTGCCTGGTCCTAGGCTACCCACTCTCTCTCCACCAGCCTATCTCAGACCGCGGTGATATTAGCCTGCCTTTCCAAGCCTTGTAAGGACTACGGATAATATATGGAAAGTGTCTGAGTGCTTGATGTACAATATATACTTGCTAAATATTAGTAGCCTCAGAACAAATTATGCAAATTGAGAAACTATATGCAAATACAATTAATTTGCATAAGGGACTCAGATTGAACAGTGTTTTGTTTTCTTTGCACAGGTTTTGGTATTATTATTGTTGTTATTATTATTATTAGTACAGCATACACACAGCCCTAATTATTGTGCCCCCTCCCAAGCAGAGTGCAAATACGGAAAGCAAGATGTGTGCTACAGGGGGGTCCTGGTATGTTCAAAGAACGAAGCAAACCAAATAGAGCCAAGCTGTGACGTGAAGGGGAATGCAAGCCATGCCCTGCACCGCTAGCCAATGTGACCTGGTTCGTTCAAACACCTCAAAGCAGCTTTCTGAGCAGCAAGGAGATATCCCACTTAAGCACTCTTTGGCGGTCTTTTGATTTAGTCGCGTCCTAAGTGCGCCATGTTTTAGTCCACCATTCTAATCTTATTCACAAATTTTACATGGTCTTTAAGGAAATGTGCTGGGGTGAGAAATCCAGTCCATACTTTTAACTAATGGCAGATGGATCCAAATTATTGCCTCCAGTCTTTAACTTACCGGTATAGCTCCTTAAAGATGCTTTGTTGGGCTTCTTCTGTTGTCCTCGGTTTCCTCTTTGAGGCTTCTTAAAACGGCATGTGGCAGTGCTCCAGTTTACATGTAACTTTGTATCCATGACACATCTTTCTATTGATCAAATAAATGTTAGTTTGCAAAGTGGAAGACATAGAGTACTGGGTGAATTGCTGACTTGTTGGCTGTGTTTCCGTGCTGCGTTATCACCATAAAGGTAATGGGCCCATAATGACAAGCAACATCTTGCTACCTTGCGTGTGTCAAGAGTTCATTGGTACCAACATACCTTCCCCCCAGTTGGCAGTTCCACAATTCCGGTGGGCAAGTAGCATCGGCCAAGCGGCTCACTCCAAGGTGAGGTCCTTCCACACATTCACATCCTTGGGAATATCCCAGAGATTGAGCTTCTCTAAGCCCCCCCCCCCAATCTCTATTCCTGCCTTCCCTAGGAGTTGTCTGTGAGGTCTTGGGGAGCGCAAGATGCTGGAACTTTGGAAGGGTCTCATGGACTGAACATCTTGGTCTAAATGCACCCAGCAGGGTAGCAGCTGAGAAGAGGGAAAGCCTATACAAGCTCCTTTGAAGGCACACTTCTCTGTGTGGGGGGACAAGTATTTTTGCAGCCAGCCTAATGACACACAGGAAACCTCATGATCAGTATTGTCAAACTGCACAAATGTGTGAGAGTTGCAATGCAACACATACACACCTAAACAAATCCTCTACTTACCTACAGCTTAGAATGAACTTCATTCCCAGATCTCTTGCCAGGACAATTCCATACACTTGTACAGAACTCAAAGTTGTGCCTTTGAACCTATGCTGTGTTATGTATGTGTGTGCGGGAAATTATTGTATTTTTTGGGGGGTTTCCCGTTGGTATTTTTTGTCAGATTCATAGCTCTTTGTCAATTTTTTTTGTAGAAAATTATTAACATAGGGGTTTTTTGCTTCTGTATTATATATATAAAAAAGAAAAAGCAGCAAGCAATTATGGTGGACTTATTACCCTATGGGTAAGATATAATTACATGGAAATATGACATCAGGCATTTTAATAATTGTTTTGTAAATAAAATATTTGATAGCACTCAACAGTGGTGATAACCGTGTTTATGGTTAAAATGGAAATGTGTTATTTGTTACCCAAGGTATATGAAGGATTTTCACACTTAAATAATAAAAACAATCCCCCCAAAATGAAATCAAGGTTCTTAGCTTGATTAATAGGAGAAAGTTTGAGTTGCAAGCTGGTGATGTGTGAGGTGGTTTCCACAATGTAGACCAATTCCCAAATTGTGTTCCATGGGACAGCAGGTAAACTGATTTGCAAAAATTGCCCTAAATTAGGCTTGGATCTTAGATAATTTAAGGACTTGAGATTTACAGAAAAAAATGGTGGTATCCAACTAAGATGTATCCTTAGTGCAAAGATTAATGCCCAAAGGAACTTTCCCCCTGCACTCTTGCTAATTATGAAGAGTTGAGGCGACCCCCAGGAACAGATTTAGGGGACATATGGACAGGGAAAAGAGAGAGGGAAGTTTCACTGCACAAGTGTAAATCCTTGCGATGATACAACCCATTGTTTCCCATTCTCCTTTCCCCTCAAGCTCTCTCTGTGCCTCATCCCACCCCTCGCCTCCAGGGTTTTCCCCCAAGCAATCAGAGACCAAGTCTGCACATTGCCACCAATCTCTCCTCCATCCTTTTCATGCTTCTGATTCTAGGAAACAAGGGGGGAGGGGAGTTTTTTGCAGTCGGAGGGGAGACACCCATGACTTTTCACCAGCCTGACTCATATCTGCCTCTTAGCCTCCCTCCTCACTTGCTTCATCCTCTGATTGTGGACTTCTCTGGCACAGGCTCTCCCAGCTCACTATGCCGTTACCCCTTCAGTTTCTGACACCTCGTCCCCATCTTTTCCCTGTGACCACTTATCATTGTTCCACCACTGCTCTGAGCCTTCTTTCCTTGGTGGTTCCCCAGCTGGTTCCTTCCACCATTCCTCTATATCCAACCAGTCCCTAAAAGAACTGTGATAAGATGCCCCTACTGTTTACTCCCGTTCCCACTTGCATCAGGTCTCCAGGCTCTGGAGCATTTGTGGGTGGGTGGTGGGGACAGTCTATCTCTGGCTTTGAAGTTATTCACCTTTGTCCAAAATGACTCCTGACTTTCCCCAGTTCAGCAATTCCATTATGATTTAACCCCCCCCCAAAAAAAACTGCTTTCAGAAGCTGAGCTAAAGCTGTTTTTATTTATTTATTGTACAAATTTATAAACTGCTTCACAGCCTGAGGGCATCAAAGTAGTGTTTGCTAAGGGTTGTTGGGAATTGAGACTGTGTTTCAAAATGTGCTTTAAAGCTACAGCCTGTACACAGCTGAATAAGGCTTAGTTCAGCTCAGTGCAGCAGCAAAAAGATGGGATGTTCTAAATTCCACTGTGGGAGCCTGCATGCCATGGTTTTGGCTTAGCAAGATGTGTGAACCAGGCCACTGAATCTAGGGACTAATACTAAAAAAAGTTTATTTGAGGACTTACTTAGATTACTTTTGGGAATTCTGTGAAATGTTTTCCTTCTATCAAATTAGGGGGATTGAGTGGCAAGATTTCCCATGATCATTTAGAAAGTGAATATTTTTCAGTATTCAAGCTGCAGATTGTAAGCCCATACATTAGCCAGTAGGCTCTTTTATGTTTGATTTTTTTTAAATATTGGTATGAGGGGTTATGCTATAAATTAAATTTACTGAGGGACTGTATTGTATTCAAGGGCAAATGTCTTTTTGATGGCTGTGCTCTATCTCTGCAGCCGCAGGCAGCAATGTTTCCATATATCAGTTGCTGGAAACCACATGAGGGAAGACCGCTCTTGTGCTGGGAACCTGCTTGCTGGTTTCCTATAGGCATCTGTTTGGCCACTGTGAGAGCAGGCTGCTGGACAAGATGGGCCATTGGCCTGATCGAACAGGCTCTTGGGTGCTTATGATAAGCCCAGTCCAAATCTCACTGAAAGCGGCTAGGAAGGTGCAATATAAGTGCAAAGGTGTGCAGTTAGGTGGAGGCACTGCCCGCTGCAAAACACTTCTTACATAGCCTGCAATCCGACATACACTTGTAGGTGATATTGAAATCAATGAGGGTTCCCTCCTTTTTTCTGAAGACACATACAGAACTGCACTAAAGCAATGACAAACCTAGACAGCATCTTAAAAAGCAGAGACATCACCTTGCCAACAAAGGTCCGTATAGTTAAAGCTATGGTTTTCCCAGTAGTGATGTATGGAAGTGAGAGCTGGACCATAAAGAAGGCTGATCACCAAAGAATTGATGCTTTTGAATTATGCTGCTGGAGGAGACTCTTGAGAGTCCCATGGACTGCAAGAAGATCAAACGTATCCATTCTTAAGGAAATCAGCCGTGAGTGCTCACTGGAAGGACAGATCCTGAAGCTGAGACTCCAATACTTTGGCCACCTCATGAGAAGAGAAGACTCCCTGGAAAAGACCCTATGTTGGGAAAGATGGAGGGCACAAGGAGAAGGGGATGACAGAGGCCAAGATGGTTGGATGGTGTTCTCGAAGCTACCAGCATGAGTTTGACCAAACTGCGGGAGGCAGTGGAAGACAGGAGTGCCTGGCGTGCTCTGGTCCATGGGGTCACGAAGAGTCGGACACGACTAAACAACAACAACAGGTTATATTGAAATCAATGAGGGTTTCCCTCCTTTCTTCTGAAGACACATACAGAACTGCACTGTTGCTCAGTAGAGTTTAAACTGGTCCACCAACCCTAGAACCACAACGTCAGTCAACCAGACGAGCCTCCCGTAAGGGATTCTTTTGTCAAAGATGACCGCGCCCTAATCGGTAGCTAGGCAAGGATCCCCACCATGCACTGCGCTCCGCCGGAGTGTTTGCAAAGCTCCTCGGGAAATGTAGTCTTCTCTAAAGAGCCGCCTCGGCGAAGCGCTCCCCGAGGTAAACAGAATCCAGCCAATAGCGAGTGGGCCGCCCGCCGACTCGGCCCTCTGCCAGCCAATCGGAGGGCCAACACTGCTCTCCGGGGGGCGGGGCTTGCTGCTGCTGCTGCTGCTGCTGCTTCTCCCACCGCGCGTGGCGTAATCTGAGGTGAAAGGTAGAAGGGTCAGGGGAGGCGGCCACGGAGGCTGTTGCCGTTGAAGCTGCCGCGCGCCGGCAGGGGAGGAGGGGGAGGAGGAGGCGGCAGCGGAGCAGAAGAGGCGGGAGGGGCTGCCTGGCCGCGCCCTGCCTCAGGGATGGCGTTGGAAGCGGCGCTGGCGGCGCTCGGTGGGCGCGGCGGCGGGGCCGAGCGGGACCTGAGTCGCTTCAATGAGCAGGTAACGACGAGGGCGCGGCTGGGCTCGCCCCGCCTCGGAGCGCCTTTCCTTGCTCATGGCCCCTCAGGAGAACGCCCACCCTTCTCTCGCCCCTCGAAGCGGCGCCGCGCCGGGTGGTCCGTTGGAATGCCGAGGGAGGGGCGGGACCCTCGTCCTCGCGCTGCTCTTTCCCGGTGGGCTGCTACTGGCGGAGCACCGGGAGGCCCAGTTCTTGGGTCTCCGAAGCGATTCGGAGCCTCCCGCCCCCCCCCCCAACAGCTCTTCTCTGGCCATGGGGCGCTCTGAAGCGCATTTAGGCTGCATTTGCCAGAAGAATTGGGTCCTCGGTGCCCCCTTCGTGGCTGTGAGCAGATCTTTGCCAAATCTATCCAATCTGAAACAAAACAAAATTAAATATTTAATTTTGTTTTGTTTTTGAAAATCAATAAAAAGCATTTTTTAAAAAACAACAAATCTATCCAATCTGATCAACCCAGATTAATTCTTGTAGCATTTACCCCAGTATCTTAATATTTTGCTGGAAGCCGCCCAGAGTGTCTGGGGAAACACAGCCAGATGGGCGGGGTATAACTAATATACTGTATTATTATTATTATTATTTATTAGCAGCAGCTCTGTGCAGTCTTAGCATTTCTTTCCCTGTGGAAAGCATTATTTCTCTAATCTACTGCGTTTCGTATTGTATGTAATCCTAATTATACTTGCCCTGCTTCCCCTGTCACCACCATCAGCAGCCTGCAATTTCTCTTATATTTATTTATTTAAAAAGATTCTTTTTATGTTTTCCAATCATCTTCAGATCTGATCTTAACCACAGCAGAACGCACACCTTATTTTTTCTTTTCTTTAGGATAATGGTCTCTTCCCTTTCTTAAATGGCTGTGTAATACTGCAAAGATCTGTAACAAGTTCAAAGAGTGTGTTGTAGCAAATATGTGTGGCCATAGCTATGCACATCTCTGGGTTGACTAAAGGGCACGTATTATAGCATTAGGAGGTTTGGAAACAAGGAATACTTAAAAAAACAACCAATGTACATTAAAATAATGGCTATCTTCCTACAGTGTTGTGGCTACTAGAAGCTCCCTCTCCCAAATTTGTAGTATTTCCTGTTAGTTAGATTATTATTATGTAGTATTTCCTGTTTGCTAGATTAGACAGCTGTCGTCGTCCCCCGTCCCCCCCCCCTTGTGCTGTGGATTGATCCATTAAGCATCCATGCTGCTTTGAGTTGAATGCTCTAAGCAAGGTTAGCTTTGAAGCTTCAGTTGGCCCACCAAGCTGGTTGCTTAGTTACTGGAGTGCCAGCTATAGCAACATTGTTCCACTGATCTACATTGCTTTCTAGTGTATTGCAAAGGTAATTAAAATGTCTGATCTAAAGCCGACTGGTTGAAATATTTATTTCTTGATAGGTGTGTATTATATTCAAAGTGTATTATATCTGGGTTCAGATTTCAGGTTGCAGCCCATACCAGGAGATAAAGATACATGTTTAGTAGTTTTACATTTCTATATGGAGGTCAAATTGTCAGGCTCCTTACGCACTATGTTTAAAGGCCCTCTCTCTTGTTCTGGTCCAGCTGTGCATTCATCCTGGTAAAGGTAAAGGGACCCCTGACCATTAGGTCCAGTCGGGACCGACTCTGGGGTTGCGGTGCTCATCTCGCTTAATTGGCCGAGGGAGCCGGCGTACAGCTTCCGGGTTATGTGGCCAGCAGGACTAAGCCGCTTCTGGCGAACCAGAGCAGCGCACGGAAACGCTGTTTACCTTCCCGCCGGAGTGGTACCTATTTATCTACTTGCACTTTGACGTGCTTTCAAACTGCTAGGTTGGCAGGAGCAGGGACTGAGCAACAGGAGCTCACCCCGTCGCGGGGATTCGAACCACCGACCTTCTGACCGGCAAGTCCTAGACTCTGTGGTTTAACCCACAGCACCACTGGGCCTCTCCTTCTGATCTCCAGGAGCAAGCAGGATAGGAGGAAGTGATCCTTAAAATATCCTTCTAAGCCAGGGGCCTCCAGTCTTTTAAGATCAGGGGGCACATTTGGAATTTTGGGAGGTTGGGGTGGGTATACCGGTATGTCACAAAAAATGACTGCTGAAGGGGTGTGGCATAATGGTTTCAACATAGGAGAAGCTGAGCCAGTGCAAATAGGAACTGAGCAGGACACGCAAACAGTCTCTCATAAATTTCGCAGAAAATTTCCCAGGGACTTTTTGTTTTTCTTTTCTTTCTTTAATAAATTTCAATACCACCCTTCATCCAAGGATCACAGAGGAGGTGGGGGTTTACAATATAAAAACATAAAAAATAATTCTTCCCACAGTTGAAAAGGTCATGCATAGATTGTTTAATTAGCCAAAAGCCTTGCAGAAGAGGAATTAACTGGTGCCCCCTGTCCTAAGCCATTTAGGGCTTTAAAGATAATAGCTGGATCGGTATAATGTGATTAAAGGCCATCTTAGCAAGTGGTGTACCTATAGTCTTGGCAAGCATCACTTTGCTAATAAATTGAGTATCATAAATTGAGTAAACGCATATACTAGGGAGTAAGCCCCACTGAGCTCAGTGGAACTAACTTCTGAGTAAATGTGCGTAGAGTTGCACTGTTGACATCCTAAGGTTAGCCTCTGAGGGGATGATAAAGCATTTTCTGGCAAAATCAGAAAGCTTGTATGAGGACTATTAAAACATTTTTAAGAATGGATATTTTTTTTTTGTTTTTGTTTTTCAGAATAGGTCCACCTTCAAATTTGAAACATCAGATGAAGAGAAAAGAAAGGTAAGAAACACAGAAACAGGCGTGGGGGGTGTTTCTTCACGGTACACTGAGATATAGGGTTCTTACGGGCTATAAGTAGTCTGCTTTTCCTCTCCCTGCTTTGCGTCTGTTATAACAATGCCAGGATTTGTTGGCGACCATTATACTTAGGGTTGTTTCTGTCGTGTATATTTGATGTTTGTTGAATTTAATAACTTAAAATCAAACTTGGGCCTGGGCCTGTTGTTGTTCAACATCTTTATAAATGACTTGGATGAAGGTATTGAGGGAATGCTCATCAAATTTGCAGACGACACCAAGCTAGGAGGGGTAGCCAATGCTGCTGAAGACAGAATCTGGTTTCAATATGACCTTAACAGATTAGAGAACTTGGTCTAAACTAAAAAAAAAGAAAGAAAAAGAACTTCAATAGCTGCAAATGTAGGCAGGAAAAACCAGCTGCACTGATATAAGGTGCGGAATACCTGTATTGACAGTAGTACATGTGAAAAGGATCTAGGGATCTTAGTAGACCACAAGCTTAACCTGAGCCAAAAGTGTGATACAGAAGTGGAAGCAGCTAGTGCTACAGTGGCATTGTACCATCAGCAGGTGTTCTGTTCCCTAAGATTAGAAGATGTCAGTGTGGAATCAGCCCCCTTTTTGTTTGTTTATATATAGGTTTCACCTTTTTTTTGGTATCATAATTTGTAAACACAAAGTTGCTGAAATTTAGAACAATATTCATTGTTAGGCATTAGTAATGTTGGGCTTTTTAAAAGTCACACCTTCCAAATTGCAATGAATCCAGAAAATAAGCATTAATATGTATAGAAGGGCTTATTTTTGCATGTGAAATTATACAGATATTATCATGTTTTATATACTCTGATTGCAGCAGTAGTAAATTTGTTCCTTCCGATCAACAATATAACAGTTGAAAGCTGTGGGGAAATGGGCAAGAAGGTAACATCTTTTGCCTCTTAAAATAGGAAGAGACATAGTTGCCACATCTTTAAAGAATTAACGTTTCATATCAGTTGTCCCAATGCATACATCTGTAGTTAATGTGAATTGATCATTTTATTTTACTTTAGAAGATGTATTCTTACAACTATTTGGATTTAAGAGATGATGAGTCATGTTTCTGACAGTACACTTTGTTTGAAAAAAAAAAGGCTTCATGGGTCATGACAGTGACTCCGCCTTTTCACCTTATTTGTGGTGAAGTTTAACATAATGATATAGACAAGTAGCTTTCTAATTTGTTACAATGGTAATTTGCTAGTTCATGGAGATGTCCGTATCCACTCTGTGACTGCCAAGGATTTTTTTAATTGTGCCTTGGGTTGCCTGTTCACCATCGTCTCTTTTTAGGGCAGGGATGTGAAAATCTGTGACCCCCAGATTTATTATTATTATTATTATTATTATTATTATTTTATACCCCACCCATCTGGCTGGGTTTCCCCAGATGTTGCTGGTCTAGAACGCCCAACATGGCCACTTGTCAGGGATGATGGGTGCATCTGGAGGGCAACTGGTTTTTCATCTCTACTTCAGCACATCTAGATTATGGGTCACATGGGGAGACACCATAGTATACCTAAAGTCAGTGGAAGATGCAGGTGAATTAGTGAATAATATTCACCTGCAAATTTCACATAAGTGCTGGTACTGTTGGTTGATAGAGGAGCCTTTTTGGCACTGCTAGTGTATGTATAATTACTGCCTAATGTATTAGAGACCTTTTTGTTGTTCCTCAGAGTCTGCTCTTCTTCCTTCTCTCTCCCCGCCCCCCTCGCCCCAGTAGATGAGTCATCAGTTGCAATGCAATCAGGGGTTTCTCTGGAGAACATGCTTTAAAAAAATCCCCACATATTACAAGCTGTCTTCTAACTGTAATAAGTACATATCAGATTCTTAAAAGATAGGTGAACGCTGATTGTCTAGGCCTGATTGCTTTTGCCTTAAGGTGGGGAAATGAAAGTAATTGGGAAAATAAACGCTAAAAACAGGAACTGAGTGTAAAGAGATGACTTATGGCTCCCTGAGAATGCTGGCAGTCTGGAACAATATGGAGGCAAGGCGTATAATTCACTGACTCACTAAATGAACTTAATCTGCAACTTAATAGGGGTGGTTCAAATTCTGTTCTTTTAAATCCTTAATTGCTGGCTGTTCTAGTCACTAAGTTATTCAGCATAATTCATTTTCTCCATGACTAAAACGTTTGTCCTTGTTGTCTTCACCATTATCATACTATGCTGACAAACGGACCCCTAAACAATGCAGATAAGAAAAAAGTGTAAATATTTTTTGCCCAACCCCAAATTTTTTTCCTCTAACCATAGGTAGCAGGAACAAATTATCCGTGTAGGGCTCCACACGATGTGACGTGCCTTCTTACCGTGTCTTGTTGCATTCTCATGCTCTCAATACTCCCCCCGCCTCTCCAATTTAGCCACCCCAGGAGCACAGCATGCAAAAATATTTGACAGTGGACTCTATTATTAGATTCTAAATCACTAGCATGCAGCTTAAATTAAGGTGCCGTGGTTTCAGTGGCACCAGGGGTCAACAAAACCCACCTTTCTTGCTTGTCGTAGTAGATTAATGAATTTCTCTCTCTTTAATATATCTTAGGTCAGTGTTAGCTGGGTGTTGGCCGTTATTTTAGATCACAATTTCCCACCATCTCTGGTCATTCACCATGTTGTCTGTGGTTGATGGGAATTGGAGGTCACCATGTTGGATACCCTCTGCACACCTGCTTTGGCAGCAGCTGCTATCCATATTGTGTGTAGCTTGACAATTTCAGAAATATCTAGAATCCTCCTGCATCATAGAGACTTACGTGTTTTGTGGTATAAACTTTCACTTTGTCAGATATATTAGATGATGTTTGTGTAGGTGTGGCTTGTTATGGACAATTGCCAGCTACAGTTTGCATGGCACAACAACTTGCTGGTCCGTGTTTGGCAGAATAGGATGTTTTGCCTCCCTTCCCCACCCTCCCAGGCCAACTTGGGTTCAACTTGAATAGCACTTGCTATTCTCAGGGGCTATTTTCAGGTCAGATTTTAACTAGCCTCTTTATCCTGCATAGGCAACAGTAGGAATGCTATTAGCCCATACAAGAGTGGTGTGAGAATTATAGAGTAACTAGACAGAGATTCCAGCTTATTTATGGACTACTTTATTCCCAGAGTTCTCATTGACTTGATTATAGTCATTCTGACCAATGAAAGGCTGCAGAACTCAATTGAATTCAATAAATTAAGAACATGCCTATCTCATGAGCCCCCTAGGGAGGGCTTAATTAAAATCAACTGAGAATTTAAAATTGAGAAGACCCTGGGTCAAAAGACATAATGAACTGCAAAATCTTAAGGCCAGGCCAGGAGAAGGAAGCATGACATGATGCCAATTATTATTTGTTCGGGAGGCTAGGAACATCATGTACTTTAGTAAATAATCCCCAAGGAGACTAAAATACTAGGGGCTGCCAGTGGCCCTGTGTAGTGTGGTACGTGACACTTTTTTCTGGCTGGGCAATTTTGTAGGGTGTTTTTTGTTTTGCTTCCCTGCTCTTTGTGCTTCCCAAGTGTTTCTAGAGCAAAAAACACCCCACCATGTAGAATTTTCAGTGGAAGCTTCCACAAAACAGTCCTTTTTGTATTGTTTGGTCTCTACATCGATGAAAACAAAATGGCTGCAAGGTTCAGTAAGATCTTTGCAATTCCAGAATGGCTAGATGAAGTATTTTACTTTGCTATATGTGGGAAACTGCATTTGGACAACCCCGTGGGGGTTCTGCATTCCTGCATGCCTTTATCTGATCTGTTTACGGTAATGGATTTGGACTTGATAGCAGAATGCTCTCTGGCCAACATAGTACTCACTGGTTTTAGAGTGATACTTGTTGCTTTATTTCTAATCTCTTATTAAGCATTTATGAACCTAACACAAATCAGTGTCTGAGTTAGTGCACCGAGCAAATAAAAGAAAGTTCAGCTGCGTAGGTGATAAATGTTGAAGAGATAATTTTCTCATGTCTCAGAAATTATCTTTGTTGTACAGAGTACACACTATGCTTACATTTGTTAGCAACCTGGCACTGTTACTTGAAAATGACACAAGCCACTATACAGCTTTGTAGAGCTTTAATATGGTCATCAGCCCTTGAACTTGGCCATGATTTGTACATAAATGTGGTAGGTTTGTGCCATATACCTGCAAGTTTGTGAGAGCTGTACCCTAAGAGGCAGTCTAAAACTGGTAATTTTAAAAAAAACTTCGTAATTTGATAACTACTTTATAATGTGGTGGTACATAAATTTTGTTAAATAAATAAAATATCTTGTTTGTTTTTTTAACCTAAGTTAAAGGATGCATCAATAGTAGTAGTAGAGTAGTTACTGTAGTCCAAAGTGCCTACAGCTATATGCATGGGTGCAACTTGCTTTTTACTTAAAAAACCGAGTTCCTGTGATTATATCATCCTATTCAGGAGCATCCTATACTTTCTGTGGCACAACTGAAGACATTCCTGTATTTTGATGCTTTAGATCAGAGCCAGCAATTGATATGCTAGAGAAAAGCCAAGTTGTACTATTCTTATTTGAATCCATTTGTTGACCAAATCAGACATAATCTAGTTCTGACTGATGCAGCCTTCCTTTTGATATAATTTCACAAACTGTGAGCCACACAGCATACGATAAGCTGAAGCTAAAATATTTTTAATACCATTGATACTCTGTGACAAATCAGAGGTGGGGATGGGTTATGGGTGTGTTACATTGCAAGGCAGAATGGTAAAATCTCATTCCTTTTTTCCTGTATGTTCAGCAACTATGTGAAGGAATATTGCTTTTACTGGACAAAGATATAAAAACATCCTGTAAAGTCATTTGCCTGGAGGCTCTCCGCATACTCTCAAGAGACAAAAAAGTATTGGTTCCTGTAACAACAAAGAAAAATATGCAGATCTTGATGAAGCTGGCAAAGCTGGACACTATGGAGGATTCTTTGGAAGATGTGACAGATTTCCCTGTCATAGTGGAAGCTTTAAAATGCCTTTGCAACATTGTTTTTAATAGTCCGGCCGCACAGAAACTCAGTCTGGAACTGAACCTGGCAGCTATGCTTTGCAATCTCCTGAAAAAATGCAAGGATCAACAATTTGTCGAAGACATTAAATGCTTTGATTTGCGTCTCCTCTTCCTCCTCTCCCTTCTGCACACAGATATCAGGTCACAGTTGCGTTATGACCTCCAGGGATTGCCACTGTTGACTCAGGCCTTGGAAAGTGCATTTAGCATAAGATGGACAGATAAATACATCACAGCTGAAGACCAGGAAATGTCACCGTTGTCACTGCAAGAGACAGATTGTGCCGTCGAAGCACTGAAAGCTCTCTTTAATGTAACTCTTGACAGCTGGAATGTACACAGTGAGGTAAGATTTGAGTCTGACATATCTTGCCCAGGGTTATTTCTCTGCTAGAGGATTGCATCTGAGACTACAATTTTACATCCTTGCCATTGCAACAGTTGATTGGGAGTAGCATCCCAAACGCAATGCAGGATGCAGCATAAATTTCAAAAGCAGAGTCTTCTGTTTATCTGAAACTGAATTTTCCAGTTGCTGGAGTCCAAGCTCAAGTGTCCAGGACAATAGGACCTATGATTTAGCTAAGTGTTGCACAATGGTGCCCTCATTATATGGCACAGAATATTCTGTCCATATTATTTGATCTATTGTTTGGATGCAGTTTGGCTGACTAGAAAGGCCCCACCACCACCAAGCAAAAAAGTAATTCTTCTTGGGAGATGTGGACACACCAGAAGAAATAGGAGTAACTTAATCTCCAATGTGCTGGCCTGCAAACAGTGCCAAAGAGAAGTACTACTCCTGTTTGAGTGTGAAAGAAAACACACCATATGTAACTGTTAACTGCCAAGTTTTAATTGTAAGTGGACATTTCCAAAAGATATTCAGCATGGCTCATTATGAAAGAAACCTTGTCTTACGTTTCTAATAATCTAAAAGTACTGTAAATGGTACACTAACTACAGAATTGCAAGGTGTTGCAGATATACCGTATTTTTTGGCCCATAGGGCGCACCTAGTTTTTTGGGGGGGAATAAAGAAAAACAAATTTTTCGGGATGTAGGCAGCTCTCTGCAAGCCGTGGGAGCCCAGCGCGAAGTCGCCTGGGGCGCGCTCCGCTGTGCGCCCCGGGTTCCGGGATGCAGGCTGCTATCCGCAAGACTAGGGAGCCCAGCGGGAACTCCCGTGGGCTCCCAAGGCTTGCGGATAGCTTCCTGAAGCCTGGAGAGCAAGAGGGGTCGGTGTGCACCGACTCCTCTCGCTCTCCAGGCTTCAGCGAAAGCCTGCATTCGCCCCATAGGACGCACACACATTTCCCCTTCATTTTTGGAGGGGGGAAAAGTGCATCCTATAGGGCGAAAAATACAGTAGTTCAGGATGGAAATATGAAATCTATAAGGGAGAAAAATTGAATTGGCCTTGATTTTCTCCCCCCCCCCTTTTTTGTAGTAATTTTCAAAATTAGAATTTGGGTAAGAGTTTCAAAGGAGAGTATTGTTGTACTGTACTGATGGGAGAAAAGAATAATGAAGCCAGTAGTTCTGTGCCTATTTTTCACATTTCCACTACGCACAGTAATTCTAGTGAAACCTTACATGATTAAGTACAATGGAGTTGTTATGGCAATACTATGACCTAATGAACTTTGCTCTTTGTGGGGCAAAATGAATGAAAGTAACATACTATTTCTTCCCATGGGCACAGTATTGCTTCTTGCATGTTCTGCCCCATCTTGTTTTGGCCCTTAGTAAGGAGAAGAGCAAAGGAAGCTATGGGAAAGGGCAAGACTGAACCGTGGATGATCCGACTATGTATGTAAGAAGGCCGGGTTGCTGCGGTGGGGGAATTGTTTGTTTTAACACCAGATTTGAAGAACTGTCAAGAAGAGCCAATTCAGTTGTGGAGAAAATAATACCTGGCAAGAATGGCATGATTTTGCATGAATAATAATTGAAGCCTTACTTCTATTACTTATTTTGAAGACTGAGAAAACATGTGAACATATGAAGCAAAGTTCACACACCCATATGGATTTTGTACTGTGCCAGCCCTTTTAATTTAATCCCTGTTCTAATTAGGACTCTTAGAAGTCCCCATTTGAAGCCTTGATAATTAAATATGTTTCTCTTCATAATTTGTATGTCCACAGAACGATTCTCATGAATTTCGTTACATGACTGCCATTCTTCGTCACTGCTTATTAACTCTGGGTCCTACTGAAGACAAAACTGAAGAGTTGCACAGGTTAGTGAAATTGCAGGTCCATTTATTTTAGAAATAAATGCTTCTTGTTTGGCTAGGTCAGGGTTAGGTAACCGGTGGCCCAGGCATCTAGCAAAATCTGCAAGGCCGCAAGTTCCCCATCCTTGGGGTAAGTGCTTGTCTGCTTGATCTAATACATCTTTGCTTGCAGCACTCTGTTAACCTTTGGGTTGTTTTTTACAGTGAAATCAAATACTTGTAAAATCTTTTTCATTTTCTTTGAATAAGTAAAACATAAGGGTGCGGAATTATTGGAATAAGACTTTGGCAGTTGCCTCAAAAGCAGTACTGTTCAATGGCAGTAGTTTGCTTAGCACTTGGACATGTTGCCAATCAAACGACTTACCTAACAAGTGTGTACATGTGTGCAGAGAAGTGAAGTGGATTACCTCTGCTGGAGCAAGGATGTATACTGAAAGCCCAGAAAGGCTGATGATTTGTTTTTTTTCCTTGGCACTGGATACTTATTGTCTAAGCCAGGATTAATTTCCATCCTTCCCGAAGCACTCACAGTGGTGAATCTAAGTAAAAGTGTGGATCTTAAGATACAACCTTGTGTTGGAGGATATTTGAAAGCTTTTTCCTCTGTTGTACATATTAAATGGAAGATTAAATTTTGATTCAAAAGCTCTGGAAATATAAGACTGTGTTGTGTGGCCCTGTACCTGCCATTGCAGATTTCCTTTGTACACCGGACCAGCACATGGCTTCCAGTGGTGGACTCTCCTTCATTAGAGGTTTTTAAGCAGAGGCTGAATAGCCATCTGTCATGGATGCTTTAGTTGAGATTCCTGCCTTGCAGGGGGTTGGACTAGATGACCCTTTGCGTCCTTTCCAATTCTGTGATTCTGCAGCCTTGAAAAAATGGTGGAAGGGCTTGTGAGATTTTGACCAGCTTCGGGCCATCTGAAGCTGATACAGGCTCGTCTCATCTTGAGCCCAAACAGAGTAGTCCACACAGCAGAAGGATAAGCAGTATGTGCCACATTCTTAACTTTATTTCCACTCTATGCTGAGAGAATACAAACATGCATCTTGCCTCTGTGAGAGCAGAGAAGCAACTCCCTCTCGGAAACAAAGAACACCGAGAGAACAGTGAAAAACAGGAAACCAGTGAACGTCACATCCAGTCTCCCATTCCCGTGGGAACCCAACAGTAACTCTGACTGTGGATTGCAAAACAATGTCTTGTGACTGCAGTTGCTGCTCAGTGAGGGAAATAGAAACCAACAGGGCTCACCTGAGTGAATTGGCCTTAAGGATAGATAGGTTTGCCGGGGGGGGGGGTGTTGGGCTGCTGCTTAAGGCACAGTCTGGTAAGAATTCTAGTTCTGGGGTCAACAACCATAGACAGCACAGTCAAGTCATTTGTGTATGGGCACACAAACATGCCCCTTAATACTTTGGTCCTCAAGCTCTGAGCCTCCATATGTATCTATGGTACTTCAAGTAAAAGTCAGAATCTGCTGTAAATAAGAACATAAGAGCCTGCTGGGCCAGGCCAGTGGCCCACCTAGTCCAACATCCTGTTCTCTAAGTGGCCAACCAGGTGACTGTAGGAAACCCACAAGCAGGATTCGAGCACAAGAGCACTCTCCCCCCTCCCCGCTTCCCACCCCAACCCCATGGTTTCCAGCAGCTGATATAAATAAACAGTGGCCTTCTGTACCAGGTACCATTGAGATACCTAGAACCTCATTAATTGCTCACTTGTTTCCCTTCTTCCCTGCCAATATCTCAAAACATTTGTGGGTTGGCCTTGGCATTAAGAGCATAACCTGAAGCAAAGCCTGCCAAAGGTGAGTTTCTTTATCTTGCTAACGCCTAGCTCTGCCTGATCCCTTATGTTAGGCATTTAACAGCTGCAGCCACACTACCGTGTTAGTAGCACTCTGTGATCAACCCTGCTCCGTTATTTCTGACTCCAGACCCAGTTCTGCAGTCTTCCATGGCTCATCATAACCTAGTCTTTCTACCCTGCACTCTGTAGTTAACAATTCTGTTCCTTGTTCTCAATAGCCCTATTCAGGCATTCTTAATGTCGCTTAAATGAATACATGAGGAGCATAGAGCATGCATAAATGTGCATAACTGTTCTCCCTCTGCATATTCAAGGGCAACTGTCAGCAGTAGGAAGGCTTCCCTTCTGCAAACAGTTGCCATTCAACACATGGAGATAGGAAGGATGGAGCAGAGCTAACAAACTTGTGCACTCTTTCCTTCTCACCTGTTCATTTAAGCCCCATATACGTACACCTGAATAGGGCTAATATGTTGTTGTTTTGTGCTGTTCCCTTACCTGCTCATATCTACCTTAAGACCTGTTCAGGCATTACTTTGTTCTTCCCCTACATGGTGAGTTCAGGGACAGTCCTCAAACTCATGCCCTGCATCTCTGCTCCGTGTTCTTGTGCATAAAGGGGGTGATGCCCAAACCATCATTTGAACACTTGGTCTCTCTTGACCTGGATATCTAACACACGCGCGCACACGCGCGCACACACACACACCCTTCTGACAGTGAATGGGGAACAGAGAATGAACACAACCTCAAGGTTCATCTTGCTTGAAGGTGAGGATGGGGGAGTAACATCTGAACAGGCCGTGGGATAACAAACCCTTTAGGATTCTCTCCTGTTTGGTACTATCCAGTGGTTGGTGCTGTAGTTGTAGTAGTGTGTAGCCGTTTTAATATTTATATTTGGCTCTCACATGACTTGATATTTCTTTGGCTAAAAAGGCCAGGTGTTTCTCTGCTTGTTCTGTTATGTCCCTGTTCTATATCATCCTGAAACATGTAGACCTGTTAATATATCCTGGAGGAGGCAATTTTCTTTCTTTTTGCTAATGCTCGCTTTCTTTTTGGTCAAAATCACTGTGCTTCATGCTCGCTAAGCTCAAGCTGTCAGGAAGGCTCCTGACTGTAGAAGACCTAGACAACTACATGTCCTACTAGGTGTTTCCATGAGATTTGGTGAGGGAATGCTCCTTGCTCTTTGAAAATTTAATGGCAGAAATAACATCAAGCCTAGTTCTGATGTGATGACACACCTGCCTTTTTTATTTAGGAAGTATAAGTAGTACTTACTCCACATTTTTGTTCAAGAGCAACTGTCTGAACTGAAGTTTTATGCTTACTTCTGATGTATTTTTGAATGATATGTTAATTGTTAGTATTGGAGTACATAACCATAAAAGTTACTATGACTCTATTACAGACTTCTTATTTTAGTAAACTGCTTTGAGCACAAAAATGGTTTGTACTTTAGTATTTTTATTTTGCTTTTTATGTATTCCTTTGAAGGCCTATAAGGTGGAAAAGCAATCTAAAAACCTAAAAATATTTTGCGGTGGGTTTCTTTGTAACCATAGAGGATTGCAAACTTTATAGTGAACACACAGATACTTGACTCATTGTGGTTAGCATGCAAATGATCAGCCTTGTCAACCCAATGAATTATATAAGATGGATGGAGGCTTATTGGTGGTATAGTCCTGTGCTCGAACAAAAAATGTTAATGTGCGCAGAGGGGTGAGAGAGCACAGAACTGCTTCACTCTCTTTGCATGGAAGATTTAGGTCTCTTAACAGAAGGTGTATCAAAGTCGTCAAAGAGAAGGGTTGGTTTTATCAAAGAAATTTATTGGTGGTTATAACAACTTAATTTTTTGTTTACAAATGCTGCCCCCTATTCACCGACCCCAAATTGCTCCAGAGGATTGGGGATCATACAGGAGGAGAACAAGGAAGTTCTCTTTCACTCACAAACTGTGTTCCACATACACCAGGGGTCAGCAACCTTTTTCAGCTGTGGGCTGGTCCACCGTCCCTCAGACCATGTAGTGGGCCGGACAATATTTTTTTGGAAAAAATGAATGCGTTCCTATGCCCCACAAATAACCCAGAGATCCATTTTAAATAAAAGCACACATTCTACTCATGTAAAAACACCAGGCAGGCCCCACAAATAACCCACAGATGCATTTTAAATAAAAGGACACATTCTACTCAGGTAAAAACACGCGTCCGCAGGCCGGATTGAGAAGGCGATTGGGCCGCATCTGGCCCCCGGGCCTTAGGTTGCCTACCCCGGATATACACAATTATTTACTCAGATACAACCCAGAACATTTTCATTGTCCAATAACACAATCCACACCCTTGGTTATGCAGCCCTCAACTGCTTTTGAGTGCAATTGTGAAATTAAAAATTAAAAATTTATACCCATGTAAGAAACACACGGGTGGTGCTGTGGTCTAAACCACAGAGCCTAGGACTTGCTGATCAGAAGGTTGGCGGTTTGAATCCCCACGACAGGTTGAGCTCCTGTTTCTCGCTCCCAGCTCCTGCCAACCTAGCAGTTCAAAAGCACGTCAAATTGCAAGTAGATCAATAGGTACCACTCCGGCAGGAAGGTAAACGGCGTTTCCGTGCGCTGCTCTGGTTTGCCAGAAGTGGCTTAGTCATGCTGGCCACATGACCTGGAAGCTGTACACCGGCTCCCTCGGCCAGTAAAGCGAGATGAGCGCCGCAACCCCAGAGTCGTCCATGACTGGACCTAATGGTCAAGGTTCCCTTTACCTTTACCTTTAAGAAACTAAAGAACCGCTTGAAGTAGAATTTTCTATATGCGAAAACTGATATTTATTTCAGAATAGTGTGTGTGCATGACATAGAAAACAAATAGCCATTCTATTTTATTGGCCTAGCCTGAAAATTTAACATTTTCAAATAGAAGGACAATACAGTCATACCTCGGGTTAAAGTCGCTTCAGGTTGAGCGTTTTCAGGTTGCGCTCCATGGTGATCCGGAAATAACGGAATGCGTTACTTCCGGGTTTCGCCGCTCGCACATGCGCAGACACTCAAAATGATGTCACGCGCATGCACAGAAGCAGCAAATGGCGGCACACGCAGGCGTGGGTTGCATTCTGCTTTGGATGCGAATGGGGCTCCGGAACAGATCGCTTTCGCATCCAGAGGTACCACTGTACATGCCATTTTATCATAAGTTGAATTCTTGACCTTTAAAAGTAGCAGGGGATGGAGAAGTCTACCTGAGACCCCAGAGAGCTTCTTAGTCGTATACCGTATCTTTTGCCCTATAGGACGCACTTTTTCCCCTCCAAAAATGAAGGGGAAATGTGTGTGCGTCCTATGGGGCGAATGCAGGCTTTCGCCGAAGCCTGGAGAGCGAGAGGGGTCAGTGCGCACCGACCCCTCTCGCTCTCCAGGCTTCAGGAGAGCCCCAGCGCCAGCCCCACAAGGTCGGGGGACAGTGGGGAGGCGGAACGCCGCCATCCCGCTGTCTTCCGATGTGGTTTGGAGGCTGACGGCGGGGAGACGCGTGCTTCTCCCCGCTGCCTGCCCTGCAAGCTCCGGGGACAGTGGGGAGGCGCAGCGCGTCTTCCCACTGTCCCTGGACCTGGTCTGAAGGCGGGCGGCGGGGAGAAGAGCGCTTCTCCCCGCTGCCTGCCCCGCAAGCTCCGGGGACAGCTGGGAGGCGCAGCGCGTCTTCCCGCTGTCCCCGGACCAGGTCTGAAGGTGGGGAGAAGAGCACTTCTCCCCACTGCCTGCCCCGCAAGCTCCGGGGACAGCTGGGAGGCGCAGCGCGTCTTCCCGCTGTCCCCGGACCAGGTCTGAAGGTGGGGAGAAGAGCACTTCTCCCCGCTGCCTGCCCCGCAAGCTCCGGGGACAGTTGGGAGGCGCAGCGTGTCTTCCCGCTGTCCCCGGACCTGGTCTGAAGGCGGGCCGCGGGGAGAAGAGCGCTTTTAAAAACACTTATATAAATTGGTTGCCTTTAAATTGTAGAATACTTTTTATTCCTCCCTGTTTCTAACAGGATGCATATGAGAAGCTTATATATCTTATAGTGCTATCCATCATGTCACTTAAAATATTTGAAGGTACTCTTTAAATTATTGTATGCATTAAAATAAATGCCATGTTTGCCAACTAACAAGATTTTAATCAAGGCTTTCAGTGGTGCTAAACAGTTGTTTGCTTTCATATTTGCATATCAGGAGGGGGCTGAGAGCGTGAGTAGGTGGATGTCATGTCCCAGTGATTAATGATCTCTAAGAAGCTGAGAGAGGGGATAATATACACAGCATTTCTACCCCCTGGAGGAAGAATGCAAACACCATTGTGCAGATCTGTGCACAGTCACTGACTTCCTGGTAGCTGGAGAATTTCATACACTTCTTGGCCACAAATAAAACTGTCAGGCGGAGTGACAAAGATCAGAAAGCCAAGCTTTGGTTATTGAAAAGAATAGCTCAAGCACAGTGATCCAGAAAATTAATTTTGTAGGTGTTTGGGAACACCATTCTTATTAAGAAACCAGTAAAAAGGGGCCTTCTGTGGAAACTATCCAAGCTGCCAGTCCCCGTCCCCACCCCTGATTCGATTTTGCTGTTTCTTGCCAGTTCAGTTTTACTGAAAGCAAGTTATCTTGCAAAATGTGAGGTAGCTGCAACAAAACCCAGCCTCCCATCTTGTGTTCTGCATCTCACTTTCTCTTGATGCTGCTTCCAGAAAGTAAAAAAGGAGAATGAGCTATACAGTACTGTGGTCACAGGCATGGTGAAAGATGTTGTGCAAAAAAGAACTTCTGGTAACTACTTCTAAGTAAAATGTTTGCACAAAGTGAGATAAGAGACAAGAATTAGTGACTGAAGCCATTTGCTGACTTAGATACACTAGAAATCAGTGGAACTTGCCTGTATGGTCTGTATGAATCAGAATAAAAGTGAATGTATGTTTGCTCTTTGCCTGTGCTAATGTTGTGGCTTAAGTGCCTTCTAGGTACATAATGCAAGCAGTTTGTGAACTTCTAAATTTAATGCCAAGAAGAGATGTCTAGCCTACAGTGTTATCTTTCAGCCATCAAAATTGTAACACACTAATCTTTGGAAGTATGATTTTAAGATTAGCTAGCTACACAGGTAGTTTGGGTGGGGGTGGAGGTTGAGAGAATGGAGATTTTGAAAAACAAAGCTTATCAAAATTGCTTAAGAAAGCCTTTTGCAATGCTTTTCAAGCTAACAACTTCCCAGAATGGAAATAAACCACAAAACAAGGAATACAAATGAGCTAGACTAGATAAGCCTAAATTGCAGTTCCCACTACATGATATCTTAGTGGTGTGTATTAGAATAACAATGCAATTTTCTCCTAAAACCCTTCTCTAGGTTGAATCTTGCTATTCTAGAACATTATTTTTTCAGCATGGGAACTTTTAATTTGCTTAATACATAGAAACCATAAAGTGCTGGGTCATAAAATTTATATACAACAGGAAAAGGAATGCAAATTATACACAAACAGAACAAAACCACTTATCAAAATGCAATATAAATCCTAACACAACTGCCAGTGCTGAGTAAGCATGGTAAAGGTTTTTCTTTTGCAAAAAACAAACCCAGAACAGACAAATTGGTATAGATTGCTATTCCCAGTGCATTTCAAGAAGCATCTCTTATCTAGGGAACTGAAGCCTGCTAACAATCTTGACGCTGCTGTTTACCAAAGCAGCTATTTCCTTTGTCTCCAAGCTATTGCTGTATAATAACGTAGGATGACTCCTGCTGAAGCAGGTCAAAGGCCCATCTAATCCAACATCCTGTTCTCACAGTGGCCAACCAGAAGCCTGAATGGGTGGCAGGGTTATATGTATAACATCACTGGTGCACAAATTCTAATGCAGACTGCTCACTTGTGTTCTTTTCCCCAGACTTCGTCTTACTACTTTCCCATAAGACTTTTCTCTCTACTGCCAGTTGCCTGTAGGATTGCCAGTTCTTGAAGTAAAAAATTATGGAACTTAGGCAGGGCCCACCTAGGGGAGTGTGATCCTTTTGTGGCTTCACAACAGTCCTTGCTGCCCTAGGGCATGTTTGAGAGAAATGGCGAGATCTGGATTTATTATTATTTTTTTATCACATAATCTCAGGAAAGCCTCTATTTCATTTGAGTTCCTGCCCACCAAGTAGTACTATCTGTGCATGCTGTTGGGCCCCTGCACAGACCACAACACAATCCAGGCTATATATGTGGCACAATGAGAAGGCAAAACATACTCACAGATGGGCCAAACCCCAGACTACATGCGACATCATGTGTTCGTTACATGGCCAAAGACTTCGGTGTGTGTGAAAGAAACAAAACAGAGGTTTTGTGTGTGTGCCCATTCATGGGAAGCTCTCACACCAGGGAGTAGCTTGGTCTCTTCAAACAAGCCTTTAAAGTAGAGATCTTTCCCAGTCTGCATCTGTATTGGAATTATTTGTAGACATGTTATTCTTTGGGCGTTTGCCACTCTTGGGCTCCTTTGAGAGGAAGTGTGGCATATAAATCTAATAAACAAATTTCAAAAAGGCTAAGAACTTGCTGCTGCTTAAAAATGCTAAGAATTTTAGGAAGATGAATTCCGTACTTTCTTCTACACTTCATGCTTCCATTCCATTGAAGTATACCAGCAATCCTGTTGTTATTTAAACTTTGGAATTTACCTTTTCCTTTATTTGATAATCTCCCCAAAGTCTACCAAATCCCTGAAAATTCTTTGGAATCTAAGATGAAATCTTAGAATGGGGTGTACTATGTGTTATACAGGTACAGCGTTATAATCTGCTATTATGCTAGAACATACAGGTTCTTCAACACAAATGCTTGGCATTCAGATGTGGTGTTTGCTGGCACGGTATGAAGAAAATAGTGTCATGAATGAGAATGTTTTTAAAATCTGTTTCAGCAATGCAATCAACCTTTTAAGCAACGTTCCAGTTTCTTGTCTGGATGTCCTTATCAGTCCATCGACACAAGAGGATCCCGAGGACACAGATATCAAATATAATGGCATGAATATGGATGCAATTCAGGTGCTATTGAAGTTCATGGAGAAGAGAATTGACAAGGTTAGATTGTTTTATATAAGAGCTAAAATCATTGTTTTTATACATTAATTAGATGTTCGTTGTCTTGTGACAAATGCCATCTTTTAAAACAGCTGTGCGTGGAAAAGCCACCTCTGGAAAGACTTTGATTTGGAGAAAAGCATTAAGCATCCCCCTCACCTCCTGGTCACTTCACCAATCACATTCACGGCCTTTTGTCACTTGAATAAAAGCACACATTGTTGCGAACCTGTTATATGGTTTGCAGTAATAATGTCTTGTTGGGCCTTAAAAGCTGACACAAGCTATCTCTTAATAACAAAAATGGGCCTGAATCAGAAATCCCCAAGTTTTTACCTATTCTTAACCATCTAATATTTTCAAGGTTGGAAGATGGCCTTGGGGAAATGCAATGTCAGGTAGTTGGGTCTACCTAGGTTTTTTATTTTTAAAAATTGTGTTACATATTCAGTGTTTGCCTACAAACCAAATCACAGTGTAGAAAGTGTGTAGAAAGATGAGTGTGATTGATATCAATATTTTGATATCAATATTTTGATTAGATACTAGGGGGGCATAAAAACAAATATTTATGCCATATTTGAGGGATCCTCTGTGCAGAGCAAACAAAACAGCACGTGCACACACAAACATACAGCTATTTCTCACTGAAGCACTGCTTTTAATATCAAACCCACAAATGAAACATAGACTGATTAGTTTTATTAAAGTAAAAGCTATCTGTTGCTTCCCACAATCAGCAGAGGTCCTTGTGTGTGTGTGTGTGTGTGTGTGTGTACATACACATGCACACACACACACACACACACCAACTTATCATCACATAGCCATTAAAATAATACAGTACAGATGGAACATATCGTTCATCCAAAATCAGAAAATATCATTTCCTTATCTAGACAAGAATGAACACTAAACAACTATTGAAAGGCAGACCACCAGTGGCGTAGCGTGGGGGGTGCCAGGGGTGCCGGCCGCACCGTGCGCAACATCTGGGGGGGGCGCGAGTCCAGAGGGAAGGGACAAGCAATCGAGGCTTGTTTGGGGTGGGGGGGTCGTCGTCTCCGTTTGGCCGGCCCCCCTCGAGGAAGCGGGAACCTCTCCAAGGTGCAGCGCGCCGTCGGTGGAGGAAAAAGAGCCGCGCAGCAGCAGCAGCAAAGCCGGGAGGAGGAGGAGGTGGAGGCGCCGCCTGCCGCAGGATCCGATCCGAGCCTGCTAATCGCTTGCTGGGAATTAAGCGGCTCAAAGAGGCAAAGGAAGAGGTGGAGCCGCTGGCCCGGCCGGGAGGAAGCTGGAGAGAGCAGCGCACCTGGGCGCAGCGAGGTTGGGTAGGTGCGCCCTGGCTGGCTACCCGCCTCCCGGGCTCAGTGCCTCCATGACCCCTCCAGCGGCGATGGGAGAGATCGGGGGGGGGGGTCTGGAGCAGCCCCGGCTGGCCTGCTCCTGCTTCTCCCCCGCCTCCTTCCCGTTGCCAGCGCCTTGATCTCATCCGGATCAGGGACGAAACACGCCCATCCTTCGCTACTCCTTGTCGGGTCACTGCTTCATTTCTCCAGGGAGAGAGAGAGGAGAGGAGAGGCGCTGGGGATTGCCAAGCGCGCGTGACGCAAAGGGCCTGCCCACGCACAGGCTGAGCTCCGCGTGGCGGGGGCGGAGGGAGGCGCTCTGCACATGCTTAGGAGGCACTCGCTCTTTCCGAAGAAGGACCCGGCTACTGGATCAAGGCCACAAGGGCCCATCTAGAGTGGCCAAGCAGACGCGTCAATGAGAAGCACTCAAAGCAGGACCGGGGCACAAGAGCGCTCTCCCTTCCTGCTGTTTCCAGGGGGTGGAAGCGTCGCTGCCTCGAGCAGTGGCGTAGCGTGGGGGGTACAGGGGGGGGCCGGCCGCAACATCTGGGAGTTAGGGTTAGGGGGCGCAAATCCACGGGTTAGGGGGCGCAAATTACTTGCCTTGCCCCGGGTGCTGACAACCCACGCTACGCCACTGCAGACCACTAGTGCTGTCTAATGCATGGAAGGCAGTGTTGGGACCAAGTGAGCTTCCTTGTGCAAGGTGTACCAAAATTGGGGGGCTACCACAGAAAAGGCCTGTTATCTTGTTGCTCCCTACGAGTATCTCTTGGTGGAGACACACAGGGTGTCTTCAGATGATGATCTCAGTGTCTAGATAGGCTTATACAGGGGAAAGGGGGCTTTAAGGTATTGGTGTCTTGAACCATGCAGGCCAAAGGCAGCACTTCAGATTGGCAGCCAATGTAATTTAGACTGCATAGTCCCAGTTCATGTTTTGGCTGCTACGTTCTGCAGTAGCTTTGATTTCGAACCTTTTTCAGAGACAGCCCAATGTACAATGCATACATCATGATCAGGAATATTTGAAAATCATCCGCATGTCTGAAAACATGTCATAAACACGCCTGGGAACATTAGCCAATCACAGCTCTGGAGGCATTCATTTGTGAATTTTCAGGTGTGGAAATGCTCTTTAAATGGTATGGGAAAGACACGAGGGACCTGCTGTGGAAACTTGTTTTGAGAAACACTAGAGCAGGAATATGGAGTATGGTAGAAAATCCCAATGTTCTTGGAAGAAAAATGATGTGTCTTGTGATTTCTTATTCTAGGGGAGCAGCTATCGGGAAGGTCTCACTCCAGTTCTCAGTTTGCTAACAAGATGCTGCCGATCCCACCGGAACATAAGGAAGTTTATTAAAGCTCAGGTGAGATACCACAGAGATGAAGGTAACAAAGGAATACAAACACTTGACAGGAAGGCTATTTTAAATATTAAGGGATCTTGTTTATATTTTCACAAGGTATTATACCTTTATCTTGCTTTATAGCCTTGGGAAGCCCTTAGAGTTGCTTGCAAAATTATTGCTTGCAAAAAACTCACACTCAAATGGGGGAACGTTTGGCCCTTGAGATGGAGTTGGAATCTAGCAACCATCGTCCCTGCCCATTGGCCAGGCTGACTGAGACTGACAGGAGTTAACCAACAGCTTCGGGGGGGGGGCAGGTTTCCCATCCCTGGAGTACAGGAACGGAAGCTGCATGATGCCCATATGGAACCAGGATTATTCAGGCAGCATTTCTTGCTCTTATCCTTTCCCCTTGGTCTCCTACCTGGCACTGTCTCCCACTGATGACCTCTGAGACAAGCGAGTGGGTCTGAGCAGCTGGGTCTCTTCCCTGTATTCTCTTACTAGTAGTTGCTCAGCAGCAACAAAGGAATGGGGCTAAGACCTCATTGCAGAGCTAGGCAGAGTGTTAAAGCAGAATTTTTACAAATACTTTTGAATAAGAAAGTGTGGTGAACACTTTCCACTGGAGATTAATTGCTCTTATTACTTGTTTTTGTCTTTAGGTGTTGCCTCCCTTGAGAGATGTATCTAATCGCCCTGAAGTTGGCACAACACTGAGAAACAAACTAGTGCGACTCATGACTCACGTTGACCTAGGAGTGAAGCAAATCGCTGCAGAATTCCTTTTTGTTCTTTGCAAGGAGAGAGGTACAGGCTGGTTCTTATAATGAATGTGGGTGGTTATTCCAGACTTCTGAACAATTGCTTGCCTGGTTATCTCCTGACAAATAGAATTTGCTTCTGAACAATCACAAATGAAAGTTTTTAAACTGGTAGAGAGTTTATTGAAGTTGTTAATATGTTACAAATGCCTGCTTGAATATGCGCAGGTGGGACAATAAACCTTTTTTTTAAAAAAAAATAATTTTTATTAACAGGCCAATCAAATCACATTAATTCCAAATCACATTAATTCCAAATTACATAGCCAAATTTTAAAATTTTTGTTGGGGGTACCCATGCTTCGAGCTCCGAAAGGGATCCCAATATCAGTCTTGCTGCTGCTTTAATATACATAGTTCTGTCCAAATAGTATTCACAGTTCTATTCAATCTTCTCTTTGTTGTTTTCCTCATCTTCTTGTTGTTATCATATATTCCTTTCTTTGTGATCTCTGATAGTCTCCACAAGCGGGTTGAAAACAAACGTTGTTATGTCCTGTGTGGATTTTACACTCATCCAAGAGCCATATCAAAATAGACAGACATCATTTCAACACCTCCGTACAAAACGTTTCTCACAGTCTGTCCTGATCTCCACAGGCCTGCCGCTGTCATAAATTTTCTCCGGGGGCCCTGCCAGGCCGAACTCACATTCCGATGATAGTAACAGCCATAGTCCTCCTCCCCCTCATTCCTCCTGCGGGCAGGCCTGCCATAACAATCTCTTTTTATGACTGCGTCACAGAGAACTTTCTTTCCTTTCTCGATGTTCCCACAAGCCATATCTTTGATTAGTAATTAATTTCCACACAGTTCTTATCCTCCTGCTTGTGATCAGTAATTTGCAACGATTCTTTCTTAGGGGGGAGGGATTATAGGGTACTCACATAACACACACAAAAAAAAGTTTTTCAGGTGGGACAATAAACCTAGTGGGTTTATTTTGCATGTCTGAATTAGAGGCAACTCTGTAAACCCCCCCCCACACACATTAACAGTGTTGTCATTTCACCAGTATGGACAGTTGTACTATATAGTTATATATAAACATCTTGCATTTTATATAAGAAATTTGAAATACAAGTATTTAGTTGCCACAAGAAGTGTAAAATTCTAAAATCAAGGTTTAAATTAGGTTATTTTAGGTGACAATATTTTCCTTTAGCCATGCATGCTGCTTTTCTTAGTTGACTAACTTTTTTCTCTTTTCTTTTTCTCAACTCTTAAGTTCTGTAGAAAAGCAGAAGACATGCCAACTTCACTGGCATCTTAAAAAGAGAACTGTTCCATGCCACATCAGACAGGGAGCATTCAGACAATCTGAAGACTTCGTTTATGTTTGAATGTGACTTAAATTTAACAAACTTGTAGAACTCTCTCTCTCACTTTTCAGTTGACAGCTTACTGAAGTACACTGGCTATGGCAATGCAGCTGGGCTACTGGCAGCAAGGGGCCTATTAGCAGGAGGAAGAGGGGAAACCTGGTACTCGGATGACGAAGATACAGACACTGAAGAATACAAATCTGCAAAGCCAAAGTATGGTACTGCTTGGGTCTCTCACCTCAACCCCTCTCGCCTCCAGTGTATTAAGCTTAGACTAGTTGTAGTCAGCTTTGTATCCTCCAGATGTTTGGACTACAACTCGTGTGACCTTTGCTGATGAGAGTTGTAGTCTACAACCTCTGGAGGAGTACCATGTTAGCCACCCCGGTCTTGTCTCTAACGTTGTCTAAGATATGTTCTTTAATTTTTTGGACCTCTGTTTTATCACAAAGGGCTGAATTGTGGACTAAAACTTTGATTACTGTATTTTTTGCTCTATAAGACGCACCTAGTTTTTAGAGGAGGAAAACAAGAAAGAAAATATTCTGAATCAAATGTTGTTGAAGAGGCTTTGCGGCGGCTATCCCTGAAGCCAGAACAGCAAGAGGGATTGCTGCGCAGCTCTCCCTCTTGCTTCAGCGATAGTTGCGCAGCCTGCATTTGCTCCATAAGACGCACACACATTTCCCCTTACTTTTTAGGAGGGAAAAGGTGCGTCTTATAGAGCGAAAAATACGGTAGCTTCAAGTGACCTTGATTGCAATGGGTGCCCAAGGTACTCCTAGAATTGCCTGCCTGGTGAGCTTATTACTAAGGGTTCTTTGGTAGATAAGCCAAACTAGATAAGCCAATGTAGATTTGAAAGTTGGGGCTACTCTCAGGTTTTGGTGCCATTAAGCATTTAGGTATGTTCATGTGTCTTAGATGTCAGCTATAAAGTCAATAAAGAATAAGCTTTGTGAAGGATTATTGGTTATATTTGGGTTTTTTAAAGCTGCCTCATGGAAAAAAAATCTTATTTTTTCTTACATTCTCTTTCCCCTTCCCTCCCTGCCCCCCAACCACAAAGCATCAACCTTATTACAGGTCATTTAGAAGAACCAATGCCCAACCCAATGGACGAAATGACTGAAGAACAAAAAGAATATGAAGCAATGAAACTTGTCAATATGTTTGATAAGCTTTCTAGGTAATGTAACTAAGTTGCTTTTCATTTCTGAGGGAGAAATTCTTTGGCTCAGTAGATTGGGCTTGAGACTAAAATGGCCTGGGTAGCCCTGAAAGATGATTTCTGAGATAGATGGAGTCTCTTATTAATTTTCCTGGACCTGTCAGTGATTTTTAATACCATCAGCCATAGTATTTTACTGGACACACTCGGTGGGTTGGAAGGAGAAGGCACGGTTTTGCAGTGGTTCTGCAAACCAGGCCAGTTCCAGAGGATAGCATTGAGAGGCTTCTGTTTGATTGACCCTGTGGAAGTTAATCCATGGGTTTCCTCAGGGTTCCATTCCATCTCCAATGCTGTTTGACATCTGTATGAAGCTGCTTGATGAGGTTACCTGGAAATTTGGAGGCTAGGTGGCATCCTATTTCGAGAGACAGCGGAGGAGTGTGCCTTTGGGGGTGAGATCAAGCTGTTGGAAGGTTGTAGCACCTGCTGTGACTGTAGAGACTGATATGGGAAAGATATGTTTTGTTGCAGCTGGGGCAGATAAAGACATCCAGCTGTGCTGCTGCAAATGCACAAACCCAAATATTCCTCATTAGCCATATATGAGCATGAAGCTTTCCAAATAATTGGATAAATGTTTTGTATTCTTCTGGGCCTAGACACATTTTCTTCATAATTTAGATGTTATGAAGAACATCAAGGTTGTTTGATTTGGAGAGTCTTAGTAGGATTCCTTTTAAATGATGAATCATGTAAATACTCAAAAGAGTAGCGGTAGAAAGCTTTGCACAGTATTCCAGAAGAGTGCTAGATATCTAATGTTTAAGAATCTGTTTTTCCTAATCTGTCAAACACTGGCATTCCCAAAACTGCCGTCTGTTTTATAAAATGTAAAATATAGCTAAATTAAACAACTAGTCTGCAATTCTTTGTTTTTGCACATCATGCATGCCTCGATGTTTTCCGTATTAATTAAAATGCTTATTAAATACTTTTTCCTGCAGTTATAAATTGGTGGCACAGTTATGAATTAATAGTCTGAATTAAAACGACAGAGTGCTTTTTCCAAGCCAATGTTGTATTAATAGCAGGAATGCTTTTGCTGATGAAACAGTCCCAATTACCATAGTTTGGGTTTTGTTGTACATTGACACGAAGTCAACAAAACAAGTATGCAACAGAACTGGCCTAAGTAGCAGCCTTACTCATTAAAAATACAGAATTAATCATGGCAGTGACTGAAGAAAGCAACGCTTCCATAGGTTTTTCCTCGCCTTTTCTAATTGTGGAACAAAATATTGTACATAAAAGGATTGGCACTATTATGTAGCACTCAATTATAGGGAGGTGAATAGGTCCCCAATACACTATTTTATCAAAGGAACAGGCCGGTGTTTGCAATGTGATTGTTTCATTACAGAGAACCGCCATTAGTTCCATGTGTTAACACTGACCTGTTGTGCACAGGGCAGGCAAGAAAGAAAGACCCTTGAAAACAAGGGAATGGTTTTGGAGTCGTTATCAAGCTAAATGGCAAGCAGGAGGCAGAAGCAAAGATTGTGTAGGTGAATCTGAAGGGATTAATGGGATATCTGCTAACAGAGAAGGAGAATGCATCATGTTAAGGTTTTCATTATGGCATGTTTTCTAAGAATTGTTGAATATAATCCTTTTTTATTTATAAAAAATCCTCCAAACTTACTTGGCAGTTCTCAGTCAAGGGTCAGTCAAACATGTTCATAAAATATATTAATACATGTGTCTCTGTTTGGGAAAAAAAATATGAAAAGTGCCCCAGAAGTCATAATTCTGCCTTGCAAAATGTTTGGTTCTGATGATTTCCCCCTTGCTTCATTTAGAAGATTAAAATATTCTGTGTGTGAGAAAGTTTTCTTAGAGTGATGGATTATGGGCCGTACTTCATATTTTAGAGGACAGAGCTAAAATTTCTACTCTGTGGTGGTCAGGTTTTTGGAATGTGGCAAGTAGTTCTGTATTACGGAAGTATTGCATAGGAATGAAGTCCACTATTTTCTTAATTTTCCTGTAATCTTCCTGGCACCTGCATTACTCAGAACATGTGTTGCTGCGTTATTGGGTTTGTGGCTATATTTTATAAGAAGTTGCTACTTTTCCTGCTTCCCTGACATCACTCACTTACAGTACACTCCGTTATATATGTTTAATCAGAAATGAGCTCCATTAAGCTTAATGGAATTTACAGCCAGGTAAGTATAGGGGTTGCAGCCTTAATTGGTGGAAGTTGTTTCATGTCTCTCTCATAATCTTGGTGATTTCATTCTTTGTATAACCAATTTTGACACTGTGATGGGCCTCTCCTAAACCAGTTTTGAAACACCTGAGAGACACCTGTGAAGAGTGATGTATACTTAAAAAAATAATCTCTGAAAATATGGTGTGGGGGTGATGGGATGTGGGGTTGTTTTTTGTGTGTGTTTTTTGGAGGATCAAAATGTTGCCCTCCCTGGCCTTACAGCTTTTTCCATAATCCACATATAATAAACGAGATTATAATCAGATGTGAGGCAATGAAAGGCTTAAATAAATCTTTGCTAATACTGTTTGATTGGCTTAATCAATAATTAATCATCTTTACATGAGGCTGTAGCTTGTGGAGTAGATATAATTGGATTAGCTGTGAGAGGCCTTCAGAGCTTTGAAGAGATTAAAATGGCTGTCAATCCTGTAATTAAACAGCTGCAAACAAAAGCAACAGTTTAAAAAAGAAAAAGGAGGGGTGGCAGAGAGAGAGAGAAAGCTGACTGAATCTAAATGAATCCACAAGTCCTTAAGCACCACTAGAGGCTGGCTGTGTAGCCCAGATCTCTTTTCCTGACTGACTACTTTCACTCAGTGAAATGAATATGTATGCAGTTGTGATTTTGAAGCCGGAGGGGTAGCTGCTCCCCACATGACAGGTGGGACATCGACAGCCATGTTAGCAGGATTTAAGAATTAACAAAGGCAGTTTCTTTATTTCCCTATTTTTACTTAAACAGAGAACCTGTTCTTTGTCCTTAGCCCATTAGTGGTTGACTTCTCCTTTTTTCATATTGGTCTTAATTGGCTCCATGAATGTGGCCTGCCTGAATTAGGTCTTTATTAGTGTTGTGCTCCTATTTCCCCCACCAATCAATTTTGTATGAAGCTCTGTTCACTCTTTCATAGTAAGGATTTGAGCTCCCTCAAAAATGAGAATGACTTAATATCTGGATTTTTTTTTCCCAATTAGTGTTGGCTTTTTCATTTATATAATTATTCTTTATCTAATGAAAGCATACAGTTCAGTATATACATAATTGGTCTATTTGCTAATGCTTTTATATACTTCTAAATATACATATTAAAATTATGACAAATTGTCAATAAATATAAAACATGTTATTACCTAATTATGCTTCAGAGCAAGAGAGGGTACTTCTTTTCATTCCTTTCCTTCTTTTAAATAAACAAATGATCTACCCCTTGAGATTTTTAATCCTTTTTTGTACGTTGTGTTACTAAATTCAAACTCCTTATAATTTCTAAACATTTTTCTGTCTTTAGTCATTTCAGTTAATTTTACTAAAGTCATTCGTTCCCAGAGTTTCCTTACTAAATCCATTCTATTAGGTTTCTGGCTATTTTTCCAGGGTTTTTACCATTGTTATAATATACAGTGCTTGGATCTGATGGTTTGGTTTTATTTGATTTTATTTTACTTATATAATTCAACAAAAACAAGAGGGGATTCAATGAGATTTCACAGAAAATTAAAAATTAAGAGTGTCAGTGACCATGGACCAGAAAAATATGCATCAGAAGACATTTTGAATTCTCTTTTTAATAAGGTCTGCTTTTTCAATAGCTACCTAGGGGGAAAATGAGGAGAAGAGATGGCAAATGTTGGCACTGTGGTAGAGATAAAAGTGATTTCATCCACCTATGGCGGAAGTTTGGAAAACCTATAGTTTTGTTGTAGGCCTACAATTAATCAGACGCACAGAGCTACTGAAGTGAGGTGAATAGGCTAGTTCTCTCTGCTCTTTTTTTTTAATAAAAAAAACCTTATATACTTTTCTTGTTTGCAGGGACAAGGTTATAACACCAATGGGAGTGCGACCAGATGGCACAATGACGCCTTTGGAAGAAGTAGTCTGTCAGTATCAGACCAACGAGCAAGAGAGTTCAGACTCTGACTAGAATATCAGCTGCTTTTCTTTCTCACCCACCTTCCCTTCACCCACAGCATCTTTTATTATCTAAATATTAGACCCTTCAGTGTTGCAGCAAATGTTTTATCCATCAAAATGGATTGAATTATAAATTTTGTGGTGTAACTATACTAGCATTTCTAAGGCCTCGATTTATATAGCAACAAAACACCCCATTTATTAACTTAAAAGCTAATTGTATTTCAGTGGGATGAAAAGTGTAGTGTGAAATTTTAAAATAAATAAATGTTAATATTTATCTGATACACACACCCCTTTTTTTAGATGCCTTACATCAGCCCTCTGTCAAAAGGCAGGAAATAGATTGCCTAATTAGATGGATAAATGTTAAATAAATGTTAGGGGAAATGTTAAATAAAAGTTGACACAGTAAAATTGTCACTGGCTTAGGAACAAGCTACCCAAACGGCGCAGCTTTTTAAATCTCTGGTCTGTGTGTGTGTGCGAGTGCGCCTGGCTGTCATAATTAAACAGTCTCTGAAGGATGGCCAAGTCTTTTTAAAGCATTCAGATTTAGATCAACTGAATATCTGTTTTGTTAGAACACTTTCATTTGTCCCCAAATCCACATTAGATAATGGGCTTGAATCCTGTGACTGCAGAGGGGCTCTCGACATAGCCTAGGTCAGACATGGCCAAACCTGGCCCTCCAGCTGTGTTGGGACTACAATTCCCATCATCCCTGACCACTGGGCCTGCTAGCCAGGGAAGATGGGAGTTGTAGTCCCAAAACAGCTGGAGGGCCAAGTTTGGCCATTCCTGCCTAGGTGAATAGTTCTGTTTTTTAAAAAACCACCCCCTGGTCTTGGGACAGTGGCTGGCCTGAAAACATGGGTTGACAAGGCTTGATAGGGGCTTAAACTAAAGAGTTGGGAAAATGCCGTGTTAAACATTCCTTTTTTTGCTGCTCGGATGTCTTTATAAAGAATTATGTATGAAAATAGTCTCTAATGTATGAAGCAATGGAAATGGAGGGCAGATTGTGTTGAATTATGTTGCTTATGTGGAAAGAACCTAACTATAATAAATGCTCAGTGGAGGACGTGTTGCATTCTATCAATAAAACTTTATATAAATTAAATATGTAGCATTGTGAATTTTTAGAACTGAAATTCCCATGTCATTTCGCCATTCCTCCTTTCCTCCTTAATCTACCAAGAAGTGTTTGCTAACTTCAATGGGGTTTCCACTGTAGAACTTCCTAGTAGATTGTGTCCTTGCTCAATTCATTTCCCTGTCTGTAATAAGTTTGGGTTCAATACATTGAGGCAAGACATAATAATAATAATAATATAAAAATTTATTTATACCCCGCCCTCCCCAGCCAAGACTGGGCTCAGGGCGGCTAACAACCAATAATAAAAACAAGTTGATTAAAATACAACTTAAAAAACAAGATTAAAATACAACATTAAAACATTAAGATGCAGCCTCTTTACAGGAGGTGAAAGGAAAAATGAAAGAGGGGGAGGGAATCAAATTGATTCTAAGCCAAAGGCCAGGCGGAACAACTCTGTCTTACAGGCCCTGCGGAAAGAAATCAGATCCCGCAGGGCCCTGGTCTCATGAGACAGAGCGTTCCACCAGGCTGGAGCCAGTGTTGAAAAGGCCCTGGCTCTGGTTGAGGCTAATCTACTTCCTTAGGGCCCGGGACCTCTAGGGTGTTGGCTAACAGTGAATTTCATGAATTTGCAGCCACAACTTGTTTTATGCTGAAGCCTCTTCAGCCAATTCACCCCATTCTCCAGAGATCATCTTGACACTCCCATCACAATGTTTCTTTTAAAGAAATGTCTTTAAATTACTACAATCACGACTGTCTAAATCGCTTGATGGGATAATTCATGGTTCCAGTCACTGGGCTCTACCCAAAACTAGTTCTACAGACCCATGGAGAGAGCCAGTGTAGTGTAGTAGTTAAGAGCGGTGGACTCATAATCTGGTGAACCGGGTTCGCTTCCCCGCTCCTCCACATGCAACTGCTGGGTGACCTTGGGCCAGTCACACTTCTCTGAAGTCTCTCAGCCTCACTCACCTCACAGAGTGTTTGTTGTGGGGGAGGAAGGGAAAGGAGAATGTTAGCCGCTTTGAGACTCCTTAGGGTAGTGGTAAAGTGGGATATCAAATCCAAACTACTACTAATGGACATGACTGACTTTGGTCTATTAAGGTCAGTGGATCTGCTGTGAATTGAACTTTGATAGATACAACCCGCTGTGTTTGTTCTTCACCCAACCACATATAGTATTGATTGTATATTTAGGAATAAGTTGGTAAAATTTTTAAGTTGATGAAGTGATTGCTGTCCAATAGCTGTTGCTTTGCATGGTTTGAGCACTAATAAGTCATCTATTCTATGGGCTGGTTTTATACCAAGTAGCCACCATGCAGTCATCACTGGGAGTTTGCAGCCTGCTATTGCAGTCGTGTGCAGTTGTCATTTGTGTGGATCGGTGCCATGTTGTGGGGAGTTTACATGGCATTTAAGGACCTGGGATAGTTCAGTCAGTACAGCATGGGACTTTTAATCTCAGGTTTGTGGGTTTGAACCCCTCACTGGGCAAAAGATTCTGGCATTGCAAGGGGTTGGACTAGGTGACTCTCATGGTTTTTTGCAGCTATGATTCTATGCTTAGCCATGATTTCCAGGGCAGACTGAAAAGAGGCCCCTGTACCAATTTTACCAATCCATGGTGAATCCATCACGTTCCTTCATCAGACCTATTCACAGTAGCCAACGAATAGTACAGTCTCTGGGCCTTTATTGGCCCAGATATTTCCCTTTGCACTTCTTACCCTAGCTCCACCAGATCTAATATTGTAGATGATGACTGTATAATTCTTCCTGCCTCAGGGGCAAAGGGCATGGAGAAAGCGAGTTAAGTTGTTGGTAGTTCTGCATTAAGATTCTCCAACATACTTGAGGTTTTCCTGTTCTAAATCTCACTTGTTTTTAAACAGTCTACAGGTAGGGTAACATGAATACAAGCTTTCCTCTTGTAAAGAGAGCTTATAGGAATTGCTCTAAAATATCACAGTTTGGAAGGGAACAGAGATCTTGCAGAAATCGTCTGTTGAAAAGGGAGTAGAAATGAAGCAAGGGAAATGAAATCAGCCTCTGCTTCTTGATACTGGTCTCCTTGGTATTCTTTGCAAAACAAGTGTGAACTCAAGGGATCCTATTATAACAAGTGTATAAATTTTGTGTCTGATGTAAGAGCACATGTGTATTCTTATACGCAACTATATATATGTTGCACGATTCTGTGATTTGCATGGTGCAAATGCTGAGTGCAGAATTCAGAAGCTTTGACAACCTTTAAAAAAAATTTTTAGCATTTGATGCTAGAATGAAAGTTAAGTATACAAAAGTGGGCTAAAAAACTGAAGCTGGAGGGCAGTGGTTTCCAGTGGTCAAGCATACGCCTTCACTGTCTCCTGCAGCTCTTTGCAGCTTCCCTTGACAGATAAGAAGTGTGTGTGTGTCAGAACAATGCTCCTTTTTCTCCAGCGGGAACAGAGAAAAAGAGATAGCAAAACTGTTCTAGAAGGTGATGAACCTGCCTCAATTCCCCAATACTGCATGGACATCATTATTACGATGTTACGCAGTCACATCAACACAGGCAAATCTGAGCTTTGGTGGAGCATCACAAACAGGACGGCACTTTCTAATATGTGAACCTGATGGAAATCATTGCTTTTTCCTCAGTTTTTCAACAACTGTGGATATTGATTTTTTAATTTTTTTTAAAAAAAACCTTTAAAACTTTGAAAATATTTTTTAAAAAAACAACTGGGCAGGATTCACTATCAAATCCTGTCAAGAAGAGGCCTGCACAATGGCTTCTGCTTGTACCATGGGGATTTCCCCTAAAACTGGCTCTGGGTGAATCAGGAGAACACCAGAACAATCTTGCTTGAAGGAAATGTTTGTAATGGCGCAAAGTTTAATTCTATCCATTATATTAATAATGCAAAGAAGCTGCCATTTTAAAAGCCACATTTTAATGTGAGGCCATTTTTCTTTTTCTTTTTTACTTAATATGGATTTTGTATATGTAGACCTGACAAAAGTTTTTAATGAGTTCTATTTAATCACGACCCAATTATCATTTTTTTAATTAATGGCTATGAGCTACCTCACTAAAATAGTAAATACCCACAATGGTTTTAATGTACGACATTCCCTCCCCCCCTTCCAGTAGAGCAAACATTACCATATTAATCCACCTCTTGCATCTTATTCAGAAAGAGCAAAGTAAACTGTAGTGTATGCAGAATTCTAAATGAGAATTCCATCGGATTCTCTTAGCACAAAACAGCTAATGAAATCCTGGACTTTAATAAGACAGGCTGTAAAAAGACTGTTCTACTGCTCAAACTGTGGAAAAACAGACTTTACAAATCTTCGATGAATAACAAGTTAAACAAGCCAATGTGCAAGACTGAGTCTTTTCTAATGCACCTGTCAAAGATACGCATTTTTATTTTATTACATTACATGTGTATACCACTCTTCATCCAAAGATCACAGGGCAGTTCCAAACATAAAAATACAAAATACACAAAAACAAACCAATGCCCCCCCCAAGTACATTTTAAAATGCATAGAATGTTAATCAGCCAAAGGCCTGGTTATAGAGAAACATTTTCACCTGGTGCCTAAAGATGTATAATGATGGCACCAGGTAGGCCTCTCTGGAGAGAGAATTCCACAAATGCGCAGGTATGTCAGCATCTCCCTAGAAGCTGTTAATGGAAAATACCGTATTTTTCCATGTATAAGACATGGGGTTTTTTTACCAAAAAAATAGGTTTAAAATTGGGGCTCGTCTTATACACAGGTAGTGCTGAGGGGTGTTTTCTTAATTTGGAGTCCTAAAAAATAGGGGGCATCTTATACATGTCTTATACACGGAAAAATACAGTAATTGCTAATATTTGCTTTGGGATTTTTAGAAAAAGAAACTGATTTATGCCAACCAGGTATGCAGCCTTTGGATCAGCAAGTTCTGAAATTAATTTGACTTTTACACTGCTGATACATCACACTGAAACCACCGTGATAGGAAGGCATGTCTATCAAAATTCACAAACCCCCAAAAGCAGACCCTCCAAGTGCCCCTAATTTCCAGGGATGTCCATGATTTAGAGAAGTCGTCCCGGTTTTTGATTTGATCCCAGAATGTGTCGCTTTTCATTAGGAAGTCCCTATTTTCATTGGAGAAATGTTGGAGGGTATGGAATTATCCGACCCCTAAGCCGTCTGAAGGCAATCCGGTATAGGGACGTTTTTTAAAATTTTTTAATGCTTTTTAATGTTTTTATATATGTTGGAAGCTGCCCAGAGTGGCTGGGGCAACCCAATAAGATGTGGAGTATAAATAGTAAAATTATCATTATGGAATGAGACGTCCCTATTTTCATCGGAGAAACATTGGAGGGTATGTAAAAGTAAAGGAGCAGAACAGACCAACTGATCTCAAGCTTAGGTTCTCCTTAATAACATATAAAAATCATTGAAGCTAGAAAAGCATGGTTGTCGAATAATGATTTCAATGGTTCCATATGATAACTGCAACAGGTTGTAAAATTAACAGGCTATGCCCTATGTAGTACTTCAGCATTCATGCCCATGAATTTGTAGGTGTGTCCTCTAGGATGTATCCAGTCCCGTCACAGATAGATGTGCCAACCATATAATACTTACCTGAGAGTAAACTGCACTAAATAAAGTTTCTGAATAAATACCGGTATGTGTGGGATCATACTGTTATCTTCTAAAGCTGGAGTCACCCCAGCAAACCCAGACAAACACCCTTCCCTGCACCTGTCAAATAATAATAATAATAATAATAATAATAATAAATAATAAATGTTAAGAGTTCTTGACATTTTGCTGTTGTTTGGGAGGAGTTTGTGTGATTTGGAGGTGTTCCCTGCTTTTTTGGCTGTTTTAATTTTTTTTTGGGTGGGGGATGGCTTGCCTGTTTCGAAGGAGATTCTGAGCATTATCCATTTTTTTTGTCTATGACATTATTATTGTTTGAAAAATTCATCCTTCCTTCTTCCCAGAGAAGCCCAGAGGAACACAAACAACAAAGCGGCAAAACAATGCAATTTTAAAAATAAACATTTCAAAACATTGGGTGGCATTCAACTAAGCTTTCTGCAGAGCAGGCCTATTTATATTAATAAATCTAACTCATTTCAGTGAGTCTGCTCTGAGTAATAGTTAGTTGAAGACCACTCATTAATAATATCTGTAAACATCTGCCTATCCAAACAGCTAATAATTTAAAGATTGCCCAGAACAATATCTGTCTCTCCTGTTGGACAAAGAGGAATGCTTTTAAATTCCGCCTCTAGGTTTACAATAAGGAAAGCAGATGTGCCTCAGGGAGATTATTCCACAAATTGGGAGCTACCATCAAGAAGGCCTTGTCATGGGTCAGCACCACTAACTTCCCTGCCAATGGAAGGGCAAAAGTATTTGGTGGTGCCCATGACAGTTTGTTAGATTTTGAAAATCTAACCGCCAAAAGATTGGGGATTGTTTGAGAGAGGCTGGGGTGAGAGAGTGCTGAAAATGAAAGAATAGCAGCGCCAGAAACTTGCACTTACAAGCATTTTAACAAACCATCCCTAAAAGGCCAAACCAGGGACAATTTACCAGCAACAACTTCTAGAAATGTCAACTGTAAAAAGGGAGAGTTGGGATGAATGCTTTCCTTCCAGATTTCTAGACATCTTTAAGGGCAATTAGTACTTTCTTTTACAAAACACAAATGCTGTTCTTTTATTTATTGTTATTGAGCCGTCTTTAACTTCCAACTGGAGAAGAAAGGTTTGCTCATTCCAAATTGCTATATGCATGCTTTATACAAGATGGAATTGGTGAGCACAGAGCCAAACAAACCACATCTTCCTGGGCACACATCACACTGTTGTGTGTTTTGTACAAATTAGCATATTATGAAGCCTGATTGTTGCTTTCTTTTTTTTATTCTTCAGAAAACTAATATCTGACAAGCTTTTCTCAAGCGCTGAACTCTTCCACACTTTTGCTTGATTACGGCCAAGTGACCCATATTTTAAAAAGCGTTTACAAAAAAATTAATAGCTCTTGCTTTTGTTCTCCTGGCTTTCCCAGTGAAAAGCTAAAATGTTTTTAAATTGTCACTTTTTGACGGAGGTAATGGCTGTAATATATTTAGTCTCTTTCTCCTTCTTGTGCTTAGAGTGACTATGCTAATAAAGGGCACAGCTGTAGATTCTTTATGTCTTGCTTTTGTGGGGGGGGGGGTGAGTGATGGAGGACAAGGTGGAGCGGGGAGAGAGAGAAACCTCAAGCCCAGAATGACTGTGTGTGTGTCAACAAATGCAGCTGGGAAAGAGAAAAAGAAGCCCCTTGCAGGCCTCTGCAACTTAAAGTCCAAGATAAATGATGTTCCCATTTAAAAAAAAAAGAAAAAGAAAATGGAGGTTGGAATTCAATAAAAGGGAGGCTGAAAAAAGGGAGAGAATTGCCTAAAACTAAAGCCTTTCTCCCTGTCCAGA